AGTGGTTAAGAGTGCAGGTCTGGGACTTAGGCAAACTGGGTTCTAGTCCCTGTTCAGCCAACCAGGTGATTTTGAGCCAGTCTCAGTCCAACCAACCTCACAGAGCTGTTGTGAGAATAAGATTTAGAGCAGGAGGAGAAGAATAATGTCAGCCACACTGAGATCTTAAAAACAGAAAGGATATAAATCTAATAAATAAATATATGATTTTACAATGCCTCAAGAATGCCATACTTGATGGTTTCAAGTTCAAATGTACCATCTTTGTTGATTTCCTTTTTTATTTTTCCTCTTCCTGTTTTATCAAACTTACCACACAAGATAGATTCAAAGAGAGGGAAAAACAAATACAAATAATCATCTAGTATAATATATCTAAAATATTAGTAGATATTGATTTCTATTAAAAATGAAAGCTCAAAAAATATATTCCAATGCATGTTCAGTACACAACTCAATAACATTAGGCCAAATTGCTCAAAATTCTCTGTCCAGATAGCCTCAAATGTTGTGTAGTATACAGGTACATTTTTCCCACAAGGTAAGTTTTTCACTTCCTGACAAATAGATGGGGGGAAAAATGGAAGTAGTGACAGATTTTATTTTCCTGGGCTCTAAGACCACCGCAGATGGGGACTGCAGCCAAGAAATTAAAAGACGCTTGTTCCTGGGGAGGAAAGCTATGGCAAATCTAGACAGCATACTAAAAAGTAGAGACATCACCCTGCCAACAAAAGTGCGTATAGTCAAGGCTATGGTTTTCCCAGTGGCAATGTATGGCTGTGAAAGCTGGACCATAAGAAAGGCTGAGCATCGAAGGATTGAGGCCTTGGAATTGTGGTGCTGGAGGAGACTCCTGCGAGTCCCTTGGACCGCAAGGCGATCAAACCGGTCAGTCCTAGAGGAGATCAACCCTGACTGCTCTTTAGGAGGCCAGATACTGAAAATGAAACTCAAATACTTTGGCCACCTAATGAGAAGGAAGGACTCCCTGGGGAAGAGCCTAATGCTGGGAACAATAGATGGCAAAAGAAGAAGGGGATGGCAGAGAATGAGGTGGCTTGATGGAGTCACTGAAGCAGTCAACTTGAGCTTAAGTGGACTCTGCGAGATAGTGGAGGACAGGAAGGCCTGGAGGAATGTTGTCCATGGGGTCGCAATGGGTCGGACACGACTTTGCGACTAACAACAACAACAACAAGTTTTTCATGGGCAAAGAGATCACAACCATGCCCAGATGACAATGATGCCCATGGCCCAAAATGTTACATATGGATTTATCTCTAATAAACCACATACCTGAACAACAAAGGAGTCTGGTACCTGACAAGAGTTCAACTGAGTCAAGTAGTAGCTCAAGTTGAGCCCAAAATGGAACTGAGCTTTGAGGCTTGTAACAGAAGATAAAGCCATATGCCTAATGAAAAGCCTTAAAGGCAGCTTCTCCTGTAGGAAATCACAACTCATGAAGTGAGCATCCAGGTAGATGACTTTGCCAAAGAAATTTTTAAAATAATTTGCCAATTAACCTTTATTTATTTATTTGTTTGTTTAAAGTATTTATACCCCATCCTATACACAAAGCATCTCAGGACAGCTTACAGAAATAAAAAAAAAGTTGTAGAAAAAGGGAGACATCTTGAACTATAAATCAAATTTGGGGTTGAATTTATCCCCAAATTCAAGCTCTCTTAAATCAAATACTCAATAAAATCTAGAATAGAGTATTTCAGGCAGTGGTGTGCTTTCAAACTATGAGAATGGTCCTATTGATGCCTGGATATTGTCAGGATATTGTCTCCTTGTAACTTGTCTTCAACAGTGCTTTTCAGGTCCCCAGCTCTGAGGTCAGCCTCAGCACCAGGGTTCAGAACACTGGCACAGCTCCCCTGGTCCCTTGCACCAGCACAGAAAGGACTGTGCCAGCTACTCTCCAAGGTCAGAAATATGAGATGTTCAAGGGAAAGAGGTGATGACTGAAGCAGACAGAATACAAGGTATCCTGTGGCCACTGCAAAGAACTCTTGCCAGATAGTCAAAAATGGCCACCTAGCAAAATTGCAAAGCAGGAGGAGAGGGAAAGTAAAGATTGCCTCTGCCACTCCTCCAAGTCTTCACAGAATGCCCATTATCCTCCAAGTTCTGAGGCTTATGGGCATTTCAATTGGATTCCAGACATATTTGGAATCTATATATAATTTTAAAGCAGCAGATTTCCATATGCAGGCTTTTAAATAACTTTTTCAATAACTTCATTTTACTCCAATTAAATACATATAGATATGTAAACTGTGACTTCTGGAAGTCTATGTCAGCATTCTGAAAAGAGGAATATCAAAAAGCTCAAGTAAGCAATTTAATGTAATTCTATTTGCCAATGTGCTTTTATTTGAAACTATATACAATGACTATAACATATTCAGAATTCTTGGCTCTCCAAATCAGCTTTATATGGCATATCAAGCAAAAACACTCCGAGAATTTTTGACAAGGCCAATGTTAAGCTAGAACAGAACAAGCACTGGATTCACACAGCTCTTAACCCAACCTGTCCCATTAAAAAGTAGGCTGCAAGGTATTTACTCTCTTGAAGTGTATGGTGGCTTATAAAAGCAGGAAGAGTTGCCAAGATGTAGTTGTGTTCAGGTACTTTTGCCTTCATTAAAAATCACTGCCTCACAGCTAGCAGCTCTGAGCATTCCAGTTAACTCATTTTTATTACAGGGAAGCCAGCTGTTGATAGCTGGAAGCACACCATAACTAGAAGTCACAGTGCAGCCATATGTTAGATACAGTCTGATCAGCCAGGATGCAAAACAGATTGTATGGTCAGCAATAAGTGAATATTATATGTGAGTGAATATCTGTGTTGTATAAGTAGAAGAAAAAAAGCAAGGCAGCACCTAATTCCAATTGTTCATGGATTTATTAGCAGAAAATGTACTCAACACTTGGCATTCACAATAAGGGGATTATGCCTGACCTTGGCTGAAAATTGGCCATAATGAACACATCTCTGACTTATTACTGGCATACTAGAAAAGAGGAAGATGCTTGACATTTGTCCCCTCCACAAATAAGAACAGAGGGTCTAAATGTGTTCAATCTCTTTACTTCCCAGAAAAGCTGCAATGGCAGCAGACTTTATAATTAAAGTATTTTCTAGTTATAAATATAAGTTTTAAATCTTATCAAGAGAACTAAAAAACTAAGGGTCACCTAAATCTTCATCACTAATGTATGGTCTTTCTTCTTAGGAAGGCTGTTGGCCTTTAGAGGCTGGATTTGTTGCTTTTATTTTACTTGATATGCTACTCTTCTGGCTTTTACGAGGTATTGATTATATGTATGATGAATTTGCTGCTGTTTTTAAAAAATCACTTTATTGCTAGCTTTTTAATTTGCATATCCAGTAGCTGAGTCAATCAACACAAGACTCAAACATGTCTCATCTTCATGATTCCTCAGATGTTTACTTGAAAACATAGCACACAGCATGCTTAGCACACAGCATGCTTAAGATTGGTGTCAGCAGGCAAAGTCTCATTCTTGTTTTCACTGTAGCTGCATTCATACATAACACAGGAACCATAGCTGACCCTAGTCACTATCAACAAGCAGCTGCTGGTGCATATAGCCCATTTACTCCTACTGTTGCACAAGTGCATAAAATTGCTAAAACAAATGTGTAACCAGAAATGGGTGACTATTGTGATATCCAAACCCAGGATGCTAGTTTATTTCCCCAAACAAGCCATGGACATAACCCAACAACAAGCCAAGATATCTTGTCATCTTGCAGATCCTAGATTGTTGATAGCACTCCATTTCTGATTAGTTTAACTTGCTTACACAATGGGAGGAGCAATGAAGGAGCAAACTGGCAGTAAGAGTCACCATGCTGCTTTTTCACAGAAAACCTGAAGAAGGTTTATGATTATGTACTATTGTCACATAGCATAAAACAGGAGGAAAGGGTGACAAAGAAAAACCCAAGCTAAAGAGGAACTACATATCATTTGAACTATTTCATTTTGATATCTACACCCCTAAGCGTTCACTCAGATTTCCCAGGTCACATCATCAACTTCACCATCATTATTGATTATGATTATTTATTTTAAGGAGTGATCCTATGCTCGCTAGACATCATCTGAAAGGTCATAGGATAGTTCAGATTCTCATCTCTGACTTCAGTCCTAGCAAACAAAGCACTAAGCACCCCTTCCCTTCCCAACTACTGTGGAAAACACCCTGTTGGCTGTATACCAAAACTGGGAATATGACTTTGAAGAAAGGCAAAAAGGGGTGGGGAGTGGAGGAGACAGGAGCAACCAGAATATAATGAATCCTGACAGTGCCCCAGCCTCAATCACTCCCACTCTAAAGCAGTGGTTTTCAGCCTTTCCACAGCAGGGGACTGGCAAAAACAGGAAAACCACCTCAGGGGCTGCTGAGGCAGGAAAAAAAAGCACCAAACACATAATATAGTATTATGTGTATTAGTTTCCAGACACATTACCAAAAAAATGAAAATTCTCCAAAACAACCAGAATCCAAGCAACAAAAAAATCCAGCAAAGGAACAAAATACCAAGCCATCTCTCCCCTCCCCAGCCTCACTGGTGGCACCAGCATGCCTCCCATGAATGCAATGCCAACCAAGGAAGAGGTGGTGGAGCACTGCCAGCCCCCATGCTGATCTGCAGATAGCAGGATGTGCCCCTGCTAACAGGCCACCAGGAAATCTCCCCTGGACTGGTGCCAGTTCATGGACCAGTGGTTGAAAACCACTGCTCTAAAGCACCATCACTAAGTCATCAGGGAAGGCCATCTAGCTAAAATGCACCAGGGAAGTGAAAATCATTTCCTTCACTTGTCCTGCTCTACTTTGGAAGAATGAGCCTCTGAGTTCATGCTCACCATGTTTAATCACCCCCTAACTACTCTAATTGTTGCACTGACTCCTGGAAAAGTCATAACATGAAAATAAGGACTCACCATTTTTTCCTATGGCAAACAACTGGCTCAGCATCTAAGTAAGGAATGCATTTCAGCTTCAGTAAAGAACTGTACAGAGACATGTTAAACCAGTCACCAACCATTTTGGCTACCATGACAGCCAACATTATAAGTAGCAAGGACTGTACATCATTTGTGATCTCTACCTAAATAAAGAAAGAAAAGAAGACATGTATTACTTATCAGATCTTGTTCATCACATTTAGTTTGGCCTCATGACATATACATACTGTAATCCTTTACCTGTAAATACCATCTAACTGACTTAGATTGCAATCCCCTAAAGGCAGGGACCTGTTTCTTGGTAAATACCTGCATGTTGACAATATGACAAGGAAGAGGAAACAACAACAACACTGGATCTAAATCACAACCAACACCGCTAGAAAAAGAAAGTCTAGGGTTTTATGGTTTATATTGTCACCTGGTCTGGCAGTTGGGAAAACACAGTATCTCCAAACACAACTGGCTCTCATGCAATCAGTGTACAAAAGAAAAGAAAGAAACAAGGAAAACAACTTAGCCACCAATGCACTTTGCCTTTTAATCACAGTAATGTGTACTTAGCAGCTAGTAGTAAAGGAAGATTTATTAGTTACACTTGATTTTGCTATCTTTTTTTTTAATGTAGATTTTTTAGGGGTAACAACCCAGGGCATGCTAAAAGCCTTTAGCACTTCTGCCATCCGCAGTGTATTAAGGAAAAATATTGTTAATAGACAGATTTACAATTCATAAATCAGCAAATTAGTTTCACCTTGCTTACCTCATACATAATTGCATGCTTAGTGAATGCTTCAGAAACTTTAAAATGCTTATTTTTATTCACTCATGGAACTTTTCTGCAAGTGCTAGATCTCCCAGGCTTCCACATCATTATAATCAGTTGCCCCCTTTCTATTAGTTTAGTTTTATTACATAACACATTCTTACACATTTCATTAAGAGCATCAGCAGGGCATGGCACATCAAAGACAAGGAGGGCAGCTGCCCAGAAAACTCAGAAGATGCCGTTTACATAAAACTGCTGATAAAAGCCCTGGCCCTCTTTTTCAGCCGAACTGTGGTTAACCTGCTTCATGGCTTGGCTTTTGTTTTTGAAAAATGCAGTCAGAGTGGAACCTCATTAGAGCTGAACCTGCTGATACAGCACACTTTTGCAGAGGATCTTTTTTATTTGAGTTCATGGCAGGCTCATGGGGGGAGGCAATCCAGTTAAAAGTAAAATCATCTGGTGCAAAAAGCATGTGCAAGCTATAAAGCAAAAGCAAAAAAAAGGGCACCATTGATACTTACATTCATAAAAGGCAAGTGAATGTGGTGTACCCAAGCCTCCCTTAAAACATAATAGCTGCCTGCCACATTTAGCAGACAGCAATTGTTCCCTCTTTATGTTTGAAAACGATACTATGTAATCCAGCTCGGGATTATTTTACCGGCTTTAGACATGCTATCTATACCAGGGTGTTCAATGCAAATCATTTGGAGATGTTTATATTTTAATACCTATAGGATCATCTCAGATGATCAAGAATTGCCCCATTATTCTGCAATGCGATGAGCTGGACTGCTATTCCTATCAGCCGTTGCTATGATGGCTCATGATGTTGTAGTACAACAACATACAGCCACTTTTTCCAACCCTGCTGTGTTTCCTGCTTCAGTGGCAACACCTCATATGGCTTTCACTTGCCCAGCAATTGACAAACTGAGGGTCATCTTATATTGTATCTGCATTGCCCCTTCTTTCCCTAGACTGAGAAGTGCATAGTGAATTTGATTCTATGTATTCTCCTTGTTGCAGTTGCCCATGGACCACCTGTGTCTCTGGACTCCTAATCACACACCCATTGGTGCTTGCCTTCATTGCTCCCCATTTGCCCTAGTACCTCACCAGCCCCTAGATTTTTTCCTCCATCCAAATCTTCTGTGTCAACTGCAAGCTCTCTGAGCAGAGGCAATCGCTCATCTGTGCTTCACATAGGGCCTACTATTCCAGTGGGAATGGTAAGGGTTTTAAAAAGAAGGCCAAGATGGATGACCAAACCCAGCATTGCTTATGAATCCCAGAAACACATGCAAAGAAATTTAATCCAATACCACATCAACTTTGCCCATTCCTAATGCACTGCTCTACCTAACTTCCTAGAAAAACACCATCTCAGTGCTGAAGCATTCCTCTCTCAATGCACCTAGAGGAAAGCATCAAAATTTAATTCTATGCAAATGCTGATCAGTTTTGTTTTATTGTAATTTCTCAGTGCTCTTCTTGTGGTGAATGGAAGGACCAAGTAATATACACACTATATTTGGTTCACCGTTTACTGTTATTATGCTTCGTATGGCATTCTGTTGTTTTTATAGTTGTCATAAACTCAAAGATGAACATCTCTTTTGTGGCTGTACAGAAAAAATGTTCACACTAAAGCAAATAGCCAGAGGTGCTGCTGTTTCCAGATAATGCTTTGAAATTGCTTTTATGTTTTCATTGTGTAACTTGTCAACTGTCTAGATTCTTGGATGTAACATTTTAATGCTGAAGACTAAATGGATTATTCACTTCATTTGTTTTATTGATTCATTGCAGCATGCCAGTATATAGTACAGTGACTAGAAAGAAGCAACAGCTGTTCCAAAACATTCCAAAATGAAATTAACCTATATCTTAAGCATGGGTTTAGGCCCAGGCTGGATGTAGCCTGCCACTGAAGTCATCCAGCCTGTAGGGTTGGGTTGTGCTGGGTAAGCAGCAGCACACGAGTACTTACCAGGCATGTTCAGTTAGGTGGATGGGTTGTCCAAGGTTTAGGCTACACGCATGCCCTCCATTTCCTAACAAGAGTGCATCAACTTTGCCCATTCTTAATGCTGCTGTCCATTAAAATACCCCTTGTATGACATACAAGATTGCCATTTGGGTAGGGAGAAAACCCCTTGGAAAAAAAGCAGTTTATATATGAGTAGACACATATAAGATCGCACTGTAAGGCTCTTAAGGAGTTTTACAAGCAAGCATTCACAAGCAATGCTTATATATCCAGCAGCATTGTGTGGAGTGGACAATGCTTCCAGCTCTGTCAGTCATCTGCAGTACTTTGCAAACTGCATCCAACTAAATCTCACCTTGTAAAGACAATTAGAGAGGGATTGGGGTAGTGACCAACCCCCCCCCCACTTGTGGAATGCTGCCCCACTTAATGTAATGTCAATGTTTAATAAATAAAAAATGTACAATGAGCCTTTATTGCATGCCTTTCATAGAACCCTAAATACTCGTTTGGTTTCTTTTGTTTTCTCTTTAAAGGATTTGGAGTCAGGCTGCTTTACATATATGATGATGTCTTGGTCATAATTATTCATTGGGTTTTTGTGTTTTTACTAGCCTAGATTTTTGGGTTGGAGTTGTTACTGTTTCTTATTAATTACTCATTTAAGTTTTATAGTTTCTGAAGTGTTTGGTTATATTATTGGAAGCTGCTTGTGGAGGGCTTTTTCCCAAAAAGGCAGCCTATAAATGTTTCAAATGAACACATAAATATTCTCCACCATCTTCTCTAGATGGTTCTTTTTACTGTAACTTTCTTTGCAGTCTCCTCTGTCTCTCCTCTCTCACACCATATATTTAGATGTCCTTCTCTGAATCTCTTCAATCAGACCTTTTTTTCGACAGGCCCCCATGGCAGGGATAAGCAGACCTAAGGCTTGCAGAATCCACTTTTTTACTAGAGTCCTGTGATCCATCAGCTGGAGTCTGGTGCACAAACATGCCCTCGGGGCTAGAACAGGCATTACTTTAAATCTGTTTTCTTTTTCTTTCTTTCTTAATTCCATAGTAGGCAGGGGATGGGCAATCTGGAATTTAAAATATCCTCCATCCCACACACATACTCAGATCTTAGTCTGAACCAGGCCCCTGTACCTACACTAGAGTATGAAATAGAAAAATAGCTATTGGCCACAGATGTAAAGTACTGTTTGCTTTGGCTCATGGAATTAAAGAATTCTGACCCCAAGAATTTGTCATGGCCATAAAAACCGAATGGAACTCATAGTCTTTCAGCACAAAACTCTTCTACTTTCTTCATTTCACTGTCATCATTTGGGGTGAGCAGGTAGGGGAAAAGTCATGTTGTTGATGTCATCTTCTATAAAAAAATAAAAGAGGATGGGTGGTGTCCATCTGTCTGTCCATCAGCACCAAAGCACCAAGAAACGTAAGCACCTGAAGTTTGGCATATTTGTTTAGCAGACCTTATGAGTATGTACCTTTGGGTTCTTTCATGTTTAAAATGAATTAATTAACTTATATTAATTTAAAGAGGACTGTATGATTGAAGCCTGCAGTTACATCTTCAGCCACTAAGGACCAAACATCCCTAACCAGCATATAAGCCAAGGAAGGTTAATAGGCCAAGAGACAGAGTGATGCACTTGTAATACAACAGCTCCCATGTTGTGGCGCAGTCTCCTTCATGGGAAGGAAGTGGACAGACCCCTTGCTTGTGGGAGGCGGTGCTATAGAGGCACACTAAGACAGGATTCATGCCTAAGGGTGCCATTAGGCATGGGTTCACTTAGATCGGGAAGGCACAATGTGTCCAACTCCATCCGCAATGTAAGTTTGCTGGAAGTTTTCATTGTATCAGACAAAAAAAGTATTCCAAAACATGCAAATTTATATCTGTAAGTCAGACATACTTGCTGCTGTAGTGCAAATCAGCCAGAGATCCACCTCCTGTCCATCCTTTCCTGTGGCAGCATGTAAAGACAAAACTGAACTATACTGTACCCATTCTCAGGCTGCATCCTGCCCCCATCCTGTCCTCTCCTGACATCATACTGCTTTTCCACCCCACTACTACAGCAATACACCACAGTGAATTGTGAACTTGGACCATTTTACAGCTGTCTTTAACTTTCTGTGGTTAATTGTGCCTAGCACAGTTGCAGCATATACTGGTGATCTTTTGAAAGTTAAATTTTGTTCAGCTTTGCACTTTAACTTTTTACTTAATTTATGTTAAATTGTAATTAATCTGTTTTCTACAATCCTGTTTAATATTTGCATGAACTTTCTAAAAATGTGATCTCAGTAGAACACAATTTGTTACCAAAGCAGAAAATGAGATATTTGACTGAATTTTCCCCTTTAACACAGAAGCCTTTGATTCATGTATTCTTATGCAGACTTCAGCCTAATATAGAATTGAGTATATTCAAATCCAACAATTTAACAAGGTTGATGTGTACTTTACTCTGTGTTCACTTTAGGAGGGTGTGGACCTGTTTCTTGCAAACCAAAGGAAATGTCACCAAATGTAGTATTTCAGCAAAGAGTAAATGCTGAAAGTCAAGGGTCAACATGGAAGAGGTAAGCAGCTAAGAATGAGGAAGTGGGGAAAAGCCTATGGGGTCTGCTGTTTCTATAAAAAGCTTTTTACTAACCTGTTCACTGCAACTGCATAACTCTTTCCAAATGGAAGACTGTTCAAAAAGCCAAAGCAAACATTCCAAAATTATAATGGAACTCATTGGACAATATCGGGAAAATGTGTGCATTTTACAGTTCAGTGCCACAACCACAAAAACACAACTATGTTTTTGCATTGTCACATCCAGGTCTTTTTTTCCTCTTCAAAAACTAATATTTCCTCATTCCTCAAATTATACCGCTATTTAGCTTGGACAGATAGGAACTGAAGCTCAGTTTCCCAGTATAAAATAAAAAGGAATCCAAAGATTGTAAGCTGCCCCCTAGGGGAATCAGGAGTGCATTGTATGGCAATTGTAACTATTCCAGTTAGCTTCTGCAGCTTTTTTTTTATGCTACCATCATTTTGCTTGGACACAGAACTACAGGGGTCTATGGAATTTGCTTTTGATCTTTTCTTATTACAAGTCAGTTGTGCTGCATGCAGCTTTCCATGTAGAACCTCAAAAATATTTGGATATTTTTATTTTGGAGTTGTTTTTTCAGAGATCACATTGTACTCCCACAAAAAGTGAGATTAAAATGAGAGCTTAAATTCGCTCGAAACCCAAAGAAGTTCCATTTCTGATTTAACTAGTTAGGTATAAATCCTGTAAAAGTGATGCTTGTATTCTGTTTCTAGATAAAAATGTGAAGTTAATAGGAACATAGGAAGCAATTTATTATTTCAATGCACATATCTCTTTAATTTTTACTTTCACAAGCAGGAAATAATGATTTCAAATACGTTTTGGCAGACGAAAAATGTTGTTTGTCATTTGTGCTACTTATTTGAAATTGGGCACTTCTAGATAAGGCTTTTCTTGCGCCATTGCCCTGCCTCATTCATGGAATGTTATGCAGGACCTAAATGATGTTATCTTCAACTTATAACCCTCCTTTACCCTTGGGTTCCCTCCAAGAGCATGAAAGGTGGGATATTAAAGTATTGTAACAATAAAAGAAGATGAGGCAGTCTAGGAGATTTAGAACACTAGTAAAATAGCCAGATCTCAGTGCTGAAGCCAATGAGGTACCACTGATGAGGCAATTCTTTTCTAGTGTTTTCCTTCCCAACTCTCTAGACCAGTGATGGTGAACCTTTTAGAGACCGAGTGCCCAAACCGCAAACCAAAACCCACTTACTTATTACAAAGTGCCAACACTGCAATAAAACCTGAAAACAGCCAGTCCAAGCAAATCTCTCTCTCTCTCTCTCTCTCTCTCTCTCTCTCTCTCTCTCTCTCCTTGGCAGTGCACTTGACAGCCATGCACTTGACAGCCATGCAAAAGCTCAGACGAGACACGGCTAGTGTGTCGCAGCTTGTGACATCATTGCCTGGCACCACTACTCCTTTCTGAGCATGCGCATGGTCCCTATGTCTGCTGTTATCCAATGCTCAGCTGCGGGGGCAATGCTGGGGTGACTTGGCTTGTGTGCCGCCAGAGAGGGCTCTGCATGTCTGCTGTGGCACACGTGCCATAGGTTCATCACCCTGCTCTAGACTGATGTAGGAAATCTGCTCCCCTCCAGTCCCCTCCAGATGGTTTGGTATGCAACTCTCATAGCTTCATCCTGTTGGCCATGCTAGCTATGTCTGATGGGAGTTATAGCTTAAAATGCTATAGTTTGCCTACCTCTACTCTTGAATGTCACTTCCCAACAGGCCTTGTCAGAGATGGTTTGCACTGCTCATTTGGTGACAGGTTCTGTTTCTAAGAAAGTTGATTTGCCCTTTATACCCTACACTTTGGTCAGGCATGATTAGGCCAGGCTGGGAATGGATGTAGGTGAATGATATTTAAATCCATATTACACAAGTAGAAGTTGTTTGCACAACAAAATAGTCCTAGAGGGATATCTGTCCCCATTCCAACTAATGAGATTAATGAACATGTGGGCACGAGAGCAGGACTGTGCCCATTTGCCTCACCAACATTGGTGGAGGCACATCTGTAGGACTGAACTTGCTATAACATATACGCTCCCACCATGATGTGGAGCTTTCTGCAGTCAGGTGGTTTCCTCTCACCATGGGACAAGTCTAGTGCATAAAATGTACTCCCCTCTGCAGAAATGATTCCTAACATGTGGATGGCAGGGACACTGGCCAGGAGATACAGCCCTGCTCTTCTGCTCACGGGTGAGGGGGATTCCCTGAATAGGACTTTATCAATATTGCCACTATCATCACGTTACATGTATTTCCTGCATTTCTCCCTCTTGCAAGGAACTCAAGATGGCTTATTAGATCCTCCACCTCGCCATTTGGTCTGCACAATTATCCTGTGAGGTAGGTTACGCTATGAGTACTAGACTGGTCCAGAGACACCCAGTGAGCCCCATGGCTGAGTGGGGACCAGAACTCAGGTCTCCCAAGACCCAGTTCCACATTTGAACCGCCACACCACATTGGAGTCTCTTCACACCTGTTTCCCTATTTCTGGCAGGGCTCCAGCTTCTTGGTTCAAGGAAACCTCTGGTGACTTCAACCATGCACCTCCATTATTCTAGCACTTAGGCAGCAAAACATCAAACACTCTATTGATCGATGTGATGATCAACTACCCCAAGTGTGTCTCCTTATAAGTTAGTTCATGCCTACCATTATAACAGTAAGGGAGATGGTTAGCCTTGAAACCCCACTGAAGAAGGAAGCAGCTCCAACAGCAGCAAATAGTCCTGGATCAACCCATGCAGCATGTTCATCAGCCTGAACTCCAAAAATGGAGATCAATATCAGTCCAACGATCCTGCCATATAATGCTCCTATATACCTGCAGAGGAAAACAGAGTGAGGATCCTGCTCCAGGCAAACAGACTGTTTTCCTTTGCACTTAAGTGCTGTAACTGTGGCTACGAGGTTCAGTGCTCAGAATTGGACAAGGAGCATTCCAACCCTGTCTGCCTCTGACTCTAACCCATGATTAGAGAATGTAAACCCTTTGGCCCTTTCCCATCTGTCACAGCCTTCCCCTTATCCCCTTAGCCTTCTATGCCTGCTTTTTGTACATCACTTTATTAGGTTTGCCCATTCTTTTGAGCTACCCACAAAACATCTCACTGAAAGGAAATAGCCATGCTTTACTTAAGAGACATATAAATGTGAATCCATTTGGGCAACATAAGACATGGACTGTGTAAGCAGCCACTTTTCCATCAGAATGTGCAATAGATAATTGGTTTTGTATAGGTAACCATATGATAACATTAAGTATGACAGGATGCAACATAATCAAATGCTGTCACGAGACTTTGGTTTGCAACTACATCCTGAAGCAAAATAAATGCAATACGTACAGCATTGGTATAACCAAACCACTTGCAACAGCAGATCCTGCAGTCAAGCAGGACAACAAGAAGTAGAATAGCAGTGCTGTAAAAAGGGAGCTGTATCCAAATTCCATGTGAGTCCCACGTCTGAAAAGGTACGTGATTCCTCTCATACCACTCTCAGCCAATAGTGCAGCAGCTTTAATTGAGATTTGGGGCAGGGGGAAAGTGGGAGAGAGAAAGGAAGAACAAAGCAGGACAGTTCATAATGTCCAAGTCTTTAAAACACATACGTTCTTATTATTATTATTGTTCATTAATTTCAGGCTATTTGTATAGCCTGATCCTGTCTAATCTTGGAAGCTAGGCAGGGTCAGGCCTGATTAGAGTCTGGATAAGTGACCTGAGCATATGAGTCAATGATTAATGTTGTAAACCATCCAGAGAGCTTCGGCAATGGGCAGTACAGAAATGTTATAATAATGATGATGCTACAGTTAGGGGGCATCTTTATGTACTTAGAGTTCCTCGTTTTTCAGATTGGAGACTCTGCTCAAGCCCACCTTAAAAAACATATTGTTACTTGGAGAAACATTTGTTATTTGTCTGTAATACGAATACATTGCGTAATATAATTAAACCTCTGCATGTTTCCCATATAATTAAAAGTCTTATTTCAAATAGTTTGTTAAAAACCATTCCAACTACAATGACAATACAAAGCAATATAAGAAGCAATAGGATGCAACGGAATAGGATTAATGGCAGTTAATTACAAGCCAGAGAAACCTTGGGTGAACAAGTACATTTTCAGGAAGTACTTGAAACATACTACTTTTCCTGCTTCCTATACTGCAAACATGTATAAACTCTGTTCATTCCTATTTTGGCTACATGTCTGCCCCCTTACCTTCATTAAAGGTTTGGTTGGAATATTTCACTTCATTTGACCCAGTGTGTGATATTGCGGGTGCACAATTATATTCTGAAATTTGCCAGCTGGCATGACTTAAGCTTGAAAATCAGGGAGAAAGGAAACAGTGTTAAATTCATGACAGCGATATGTGAAATGGCAAGTTTGCCTATTACCCTCCCATTCACTTAAAGAATGTATGAGGGACCTGCATGGGCTAGTCCTGCCCTAAACGTCCATGGCAGTCAACAAGCATAGCCCCCATCAGTGAAGCCTTTGAGGGGCTCCCTGCACATCTCAACATGCACAGGTAGGGCTCCTAGAGGATCATCATCTGGGTGCTCCCTTATGGGGAAAAGCTTTCTTTATGGGTATAAAGCCCCTTCCGGGTGGCACCCAGGGGAGTAGCAGCAAAGATGAGTCACATAGTCCTCTTACCCACCCACACACATGTTCTTTCAGTGCATATCAGACTGCTTATAATACCTGTTCAAAATATTGATTTCTCATTGCTTAGGATTAGTTAGTTCCACTTTAAAGCATCCTATGGTTTAATAAGCCATCTAACATTTAAAATTTGAAGCCAGCCTTTGCTTAGAAAGGGAAGTTAGTGTTATGGTATGTATATGATGCATTTCATTTTCTGAATATGCAGCAGTTAGTTCTTACTTCATTTTAGGCCTTGTGATGCAGAAATCTATTCACAAAAAGCCATGTAGCCCACTAATGACTCCAATTTGGAAATTGCCAGCCTAGATTATTCCTTTGATTTCCTGCCAGCCTGAATCTATATGGTTCTATAAATCTGTGACTTCACTCTGAAAGGCTTTTCCCATAAAAACATCAGAGTTGGGTTTCCAACTATGAAATGCACATCTGAAGTACATATACATTTCATTTCCCATGCTCCAGTGACCAGCCATGTTTATAGATAGGCTCCAGCAACATATTCTTGAGCTAGACTGAGCTCTACTAAAGCTTCACAAACTATGCAACCTGTTCTCAAATTAATGAAACCAAGGACACCTATAAACATACATGTCTCTTTCACTACTTACTTTTGTGACTTACTAGCAGGATCAAATGTTGCCAACTTCTTGACTGGAGTACAGTGAAAGAAGTACGGCAAGTAGACAGTAGCAGTAATGGTCAAAAACTGGACATCAGGTATGGGTGTGCATGTATAACACCAAGGGAGAGGGAGAGAGAGAGAGAGAGAGAGAGATCAGCAAGTTCTCCCCTAAAGGGAAAACATACAGATGAATATATTCAATTGCCCAAGAAATGTAACTTTGCTATCTAGTAACACTTTGGTACTTCTATGTTCAAGACCAAGCTTGAATATAAATGGCTAACTCTCATGATAATTCAGAAATCTTAATCTCTGTTGATGCTCTGGTTGAACTGTGGAATGGGGAAATGGCCAGAGCTATTGACACAATCACTCCTAAGCATCCTGTCCCCTCCGGCAGAGCCCGTTCATCCCCATGGTATACACCTGAACTATGGGCGATGAAGCAGGTTGGGAGATGTCTAGAGTGTAGGTGGAGGATCACAAGATGAATCTGACCAAACACGCTTACGAGCTCATTACTGAGCCTATGCTGTGGCGGTGAGGGCAGCGAAGAAGAAATTCTTCTCCATTTCCATTGCCTCCTCAAAGTGTCGTCCAGTGGAGCTCTTTCAAGTGGTACATGGGCTGGTACATCCTGGCCCTAAGAAAGATCTCGTACCACCCTCAATGGCCCGCTGTGACAACTTTGCCCAGCACTTTAAGGAGAAAATCACTCAGATTCGTCACGAGCTGGACTCCACAAGTGATTCAGATCCTCTAGGGGAGGTGCAAATGACTCCTTCCAGTCAGATATTATTGGATGAATTTCAGTTTTTGCGGCCTGATGATGTGGACAAGGTGCTTGGACAAGTACGTCCCACCACCTGTTTACTTGACCCTTGCCCATCGTGGCTGCTAACAAAAGCCAAACACGGGATCGGTGCCTGGACCCTGGAAGTCCTTAATGCCTCTCTGAGGGATGGCCGGGTGCCTGCTCCTTTAAAGGAGGCAGTAGTCAGGCCGGTCCTAAAGAAGGCGTCCCTAGATCCAGAGATGGCTGCCAATTATACACCAGTGGCCAACATCCCATTTTTCGGCAAGGTGTTGGAACTGGTGGTGGCGAGACATCACCAAGCACTCTTGGATGAAACTGACTATCTGGACCCATTTCAGTCCGGCTTCAGACCCAGGTATGGTACTGAATCTGCCTTGGTCACCCTGTACGATGACCTGTGCAGGGAGAAGGACAGGGGGAGTGCATCTCTGTTGGTCCTCCTGGACCTCTCAGTGGCTTTCGATACCATCCACCATGGTATCCTTCTGGATAGGCTAGCAGGACTGGGAGTTGGAGGCACTGCTTGGCAGTGGTTCCGCTCCTACCTCAACGGCTGATTCCAGAAGGTGGTGCTGATGGACTTTGGCTCTGCGCCATGGCAGCTATGCCATGGAGTACCGCAGGGGTCCATTTTGTCCCCCTTGCTATTCAACATCTACATGAAACTGCTGTGGGAGGTCATCAGGAGGTTTGGGCTGTGGAATCATCAGTATGCTGATGACACCCAGTTCTACCTCTCTTTTTCAACCGATCCAGGTGAGGCAGTGGCTGTACTGAACCGGTGCCTGGCCGAGGTAATGGCCTGGATGAGGCCCAATAAACTGAGGCTCAGTCCAGACAAGATGGAGGTCCTGTTGGTGGGTGGTTCGAGTTCCTGGGTAGGTGACTCAGCCCTTGCCCTGAATGGGGTTGCACTCCCTCTAAAGGACAAGGTCCGCAGCTTGGGAGTGCTCCTCGACCCAGAGCTGTCCCTGGAAGCTCAGGTGACTGTGGTGGCGAGGAGCACTTTCCTTCAGCTTCGGTTAATCCATCAGCTGCATTCCTACCTGGAGGACGATTGTCTAGCGACAGTGACACATGCATTGGTTACTTCCCGGTTGGATTTCTGTAATGCACTCTATGTGGGGCTGCCCTTGAAGACAGTCTGGATACTTCAGATGGTGCAAAATAGAGCAGCCAGGTTGCTGACGGGGACTGGGTGGTACTCTCATATAACCCCAGTCCTCTACCAGCTTCACTGGCTTCCCATCGAAGTCCAGGCTCAATTCAAGGTGCAGGTTATTACCTATAAAGCCCTTAACAGCTTGGAACCTGGATACCTAAAGGAACGCCTTCTTCCGTATTTGCCCTCCCGCCCCCTGAGATTGGCAGCAGAGGCCCTCCTCCGGGAACTCCCCATGAAAGATATTAGGAGGCAAAGTACCTGGAGGAGGGCTTTCTCTGCAGTGGCGCCCCACCTATGGAATGCGCTCCCCAGAGAGATCTGCCTGGTGCTGTCGTTATTTGTTTTTCAGCACCAGGCTAAGACCTTTTTATTTCAACAATATTTTAATAACTTTTAATATTAGCTATTTATGTTTTAATCTGCAGCCAGGGTGGATCTGGAATTTATTTGTATTATGTTTTTATTACTATTTTTATTCATTTATGTAAGCCATCCTGAGGCTTTGCGGAAGGACGGCATATAAATATTCTAAATAAATGAATAAATCTGGGTTCAAATGAGAAAAAATAACCTGTCATGGACATCTAGCCTTAATTGCAGGGTTAATCTTGCCCACAATGCGTTATTGTGCCATCAGAACCCAAGTGATCTTATTGTGAATTGCAGCAATAAGCCTCAGACCTGTTAGAATCTATTTTGGGTTTTTAAATTTTCTTTATTTATTGAAAACATTTATATCCTGTCTTGGGATCCCTAGATGGCTTACAAAAAATAGAACCAAACAGCAAAAGCCACAGCAGCACTTGAATAAAACATAATCCACAATATATATAAAATCTGCAGTAAAAATATTCTGACAATTCTAACCACTAAATACTGGACAAATGAAAAGGTCTTCGCCTGGAACCAATATGAATAAAGAGTCAGTGCCAGGCACACCTCTCTGGAGAGAAGATTCCATAGTCAGGATGCTACCAATGAGAAGGCCCTTCCCCAAGTAACCACTCTTCTAGACTCTTTCAAAGAGGGCTCCCAGAGAAGGACCTTGGCAGATTATCTTAAGGCTGGAGCAGGTATATACAAAAGGATACATTCCTTCAGAAAGAATGGCAAAAATGGCAAAAAACAAAAACAAAAAAACCAATGTTTCTCACCATTCACAATCCTGCCAGTGACTAACCTTCTAAAGTGTCATAACAACACTTTGGAAGGACCATTGCTTGCTCCCCAGCACTTTTTTGTAAAAACGGTGCCGCAAAAATATATAATTAGAGGACATGTGTGTGTGTGTGTGTAACTAGTGTACAAGTGTACTCTTGTGGTTGTCCAATATGTGTCCCACAGTAACTGTAGAAGTAAGTTCTCCAACAAGGAGCCATGAAAAGGGGAGAGTTATTATCTCTGCTTTCTGAAGTAGCTGGAAACTTGGGAGAGTGCTGGAAAGGTAGGGGATGCTGAAAAGTGCCAGTCCAACAGTTGAGAGGATCCTGTTAAAAGGGGGAAAATATTGTCTTTCTACCTTTGGTGCACCTACTCCTTTAGTTCTCCCACACACGCTTTTCAGTGCTTTCAAATTACACTCTTGGTGCCCTCATTCTCTGCAGAATTCTTCACAATCATAATCAAATCAACGAATGCAACCCATTTGTATCAATTTCCTTGTGTGTTACCTATTCCCCTTCACAGCTCTGTTTGATAGCTGAACAGACAAGGAAATTGACCGGGCAAGACAACATGTATGGGAGACCGGTAAGTGTGCACTTCCACACCTGTGAAAGACAAAAGTAATAAGTAAAATATTATGACCCCAGATAGTACATATTTGTGGCACCATTTTTTTAATGGCAGAGAATAAAAAGCAATGGTGAATAGAATGGAGGCAAGAAACATGATGGGTTTAGCTGCAAAGCCCTGGGACATCTGCTGCAGCCAGCTGAAGGACTGAAGGGGGAGGAAAGAGAGAAAAACTCATGCCAAGACCAGTTGCCTGCTGGGTACTGTGGGTTGGTCAGCAAACAACTGCATAGCTTAGTAAACCTGCCCACTGAATACTGGTTGAAGATAAACAACAACCCCTCCCCGCAAAACCCACTGCTCAATATGTGCCATTAAAGCAGTTCTGTGCTGCATCTCAATGTCCTTTGTCATTCTGTACATTCAATTTTTTTCAGGATAAGTCCTCCTTTCTTACTGAACCCACTACAAATGTATCTTAGGAATACTGAAGAAGATAAAATTAAGTACTTACAAGGACAAGCACTGATTCTAAGAGCTTGCCTATTTTTCTGATGGATGTTTTTGGGATTGTGCTGAAGAACCACATGCGTAATTTATTAATCTTTATATTCAGGAAAACAAAGAATGCTCCTAGAAGACCCCCAAGTATTCCAAGGAAAATGGCTGGAACAAAAGCCAACACACTCATATCCAGTAAGTTCTTAACCTGAATTGAAAGGAAAAGAAACAGTATGTTCTGTGAATGTTGTCAGTTAATTGATATATAGCAGCCAGTATGCCAGAAGAAACAAGATACAACAGCTCAACAAATAAGCAGAGATTAGGTGCATAAAGATTGCATTTATAATTGCTTAGGCATCATGGCCAAGAACTTTCTGCCAGATCCATCAGTGTATCCACTACTGCCTGTTCCCTTTAAGATCAACATGAAACCATGCAAGTCCTTGAACTATGAGAATCATAAGACAAGTGATGACTTATCCATGAAGCTTCCAGTGTTCTAAGAAATGTACTCAAGATGTAATTTTAAAAGTTTTATCCACATGATCAGTTGTTCAGGAAAAAGCAATCACAGGGTTCACAATCCAAAACAAAGTTACATGTGTTTAGATCCATTAAGTAATTGATTTAAGCAAGTAACTCTACTGTATTCTGAGCTATGTTTATTTCATATAAATTGTACTGTATTTGTGTCTCATGTGCATTCTGCAAAGACAAATGACCACTACCAATTTGCCTTTTGAGAGGAACTTTCAGAAGATCCTTTTCTACCTCGTGTGGCTTTCTCAAAACAAAACTGTGTAGGATAGATGTTCCTTCTTAGGTGTTGCATCTATGAAGCTGAACTTAATACAATTTTTAAAAAAAACAAAAAAACCTCTGAACTGAAAAAGTATGCTTTCTATTTGCAACATGAGGTTTGTAGTGATCCATAGTTTCTACCTGAGTATATTCCATATTATTTTCTTGCTCCTTAAAAATTACCTTCCATCTTCAAGCAAGACAAGCTATGCCTTGTTCTGAATAACAATAAGTTGTACAGCCTGAACCTCTGCATGTTTATTGAAAAGAAGTCCCAGTAAATTCAGGGACATTTACTCCCAAGTATTTATTTTATTTATTAAAACATTTTTATGCCACCCCATTCACCGAAGCCTCGGGGTGGCTTACAACACTAAGTTAAAATAATTATAATATAAATCAAAAATATAAACATTAAATTAAAAATACAAAAATACAGTATAAAATAAGCCGCCCTGGCCAGATAAAATCCAATAATATTAATAGTTAAAATGCCGCTTGAATAAAAAGGTTTTCACCTGGCGCCGAAAAACAAATAACGACGGCGCCAGGCGGACCTCTCTGGGGAGCGCGTTCCATAACTTAGGCGCCACCACAGAGAAAGCCCTCCTCCAAGTACCCACCCTCCTAATTTCCTTCACGGAGGGTTCCCGGAGAAGGGCCTCCCCCGCCGATCTCAAGGGGCGGCTGGGCATATATGGATGCAAGTGCTCCTTCAGGTAACCAGGACCCAAGCCGTTTAGGGCTTTATAGGTCATCACCAACACCTTGAATTGGGCCCGGACTTCAATGGGAAGCCAGTGAAGCTGACGGAGAACTGGAGTCATGTGAACATAACGTCCAGTCCCCGTCAGCAGCCTGGCAGATCTATTTTGAACCAATTGAAGTATCCGGACCGTCTTCAAGGGTAGCCCCACGTAGAGCGCGTTACAGAAGTCAAGACGGGAAGTCACCAGTGCATGTGTCACTGTCGCGAGGCAGTCGTACTCCAGATAGGGATGCAGCTGGTGAATCAGCCTAAGCTGGAGGAAAGCGCTCCTCGCCGCTGCTGTCACCTGAGCTTCTAGTGAAAGCTCCGGGTCGAGGAGCACTCCCAAGCTGCGGACCTTGTCCCTAAGAGGGAGTGCAACCCCATTCAGAACAAGGTTCAGTTCACCCTCTCCGAAGCCCGAACCACGAACCAACAGGACCTCCGTCTTGTCTGGATTGAGCTTCAGTTTATTGGCCCTCATCCAGCCCATTACCTCGGCCAGACACCGGTTCAGTACAGCCACTGCCTCACCTGGATTGGTGGAAAACAAGAGGTAGAGCTGGGTATCATCAGCGTACTGATGGTTCCGCAGCCCACACCTCCTGATGACCTCTCCCAGCAGTTTCATGTAGATGTTGAACAGCAACGGGGACAAAATGGACCCCTGCGGTACTCCATGGCATAACTGCCATGGCGCAGAGCCATAGTCCCCCAGCACCACCTTCTGGAACCAGCCATTGAGATAGGAGCGGAACCACTGCAAAGCAATGCCTCCGATCCCCAATCCCGCAAGCCTATCCAGAAGGATACCATGGTCGATGGTATCGAAAGCCGCTGAGAGGTCCAGGAGAACCAACAGGGACGCACTCCCCCTGTCTTTCTCCCTGCACAGGTCATCGTACAGGGCGACCAAGGCAGATTCAGTACCGTACCCGGGTCAGAAGCCGGACTGAAATGGGTCCAGATAATCAGTTTTATCCAAGAGTGCTTGGAGTTGTCCCGCCACCACTCGCTCCAACACCTTGCCCAGAAACGGGATGTTGGCCACTGGTCTATAATTAGTGGCCATCTCTGGATCCAGTGACACCTTCTTCAGGACTGGTAGGATTACCGCCACCTTTAAAGGGGCAGGCACCCGACCCTCCCTCAGAGAAGCGTTAATCACTTCCAAAATCCAGGTCCCAATCCTGTGCTTGGAATTATTTATTAACCAAGATGGGCAAGGGTGGGACGTACTCATCCAAGCACCTTGTCCGCATCATTGGGCTGCAATAACTGAAATTCATCCAATAATTCTGGACCAGACGGCGGCATTGGCGTCTCCCTTAAAACCTCTGTATCAATAGTGGAATCCAGCTCGTGACGAATCTGAGTGATTTTCTCCCTGAAATGCCTCGCAAAGTCGTCACAGCGGGCCTTTGAGGGTGGAACCAGGTCTTCTTTCGGACCTGGACAAACCAGGCCCTGCACCACTCGAAAAAGCTCCGCCGGACAGCATTGTGAGGAGGCAATGGAAGCGGAAAAAAATCTCTTTTTCGCCGCCCTCACCGCCACAGCAAAGCCCCGATAGTGGGCTCTCAAGTGTGTTCGGTCAGATTCATCACGTGATTTCCTCCACCTACGCTCTAGCCGTCTCCCAACCTGCTTCATCGCCCTCAATTCAGGAGTATACCAAGGGGAAGAGCGGACTCTGCCCGGTGGGAGAGGGCGCTTAGGAGCGATCGTGTCTACAGCCCTGGTCATCTCCCCATTCCACAGTTCGACCAGAGCCTCGACAGGAGCACCCGTCTTGTCAGCCAGAAACTCCCCCAGGGCCTTCAGGAATCCTTCCGGATCCATCCGGCTCCAGGGGTGCACCCACACAATCGGGTCTGCACCCTTACAGAGGGAGAGGTCGCTCTCGAGCACAAACCTCACCAGGAAGTGATCTGACCATGACAGGGGAGTCAAACATAAATTCCTCACCCTCAGACCACCCTCTTCCTGCCCCGTCAAGAAAACCAGGTCCAGAGTGTGTCCACGTTCATGGGTCAGGCCAATGACATGTTGAGACAACCCCATGGCTGCCATGGAGGCCATGAAGTCCTGAGCCGCCCCGGTCAGTCCAGACTCAGCATGGAGATTGAAGTCCCCCAGGACCAACATCCTGGGGGTCCTCAACGCCAGGTCCGAGACAGTCTCTGTCAGCTCAGGTAGGGAGACTATTGGGCAGAAGGGTGCACGGTACACCAACAGAATCCCCAATCTGTCTCGGTCGCCCAACACCAAGTAGAGACACTCCAGCTCTGGCCTCGAAGGGACAGGAAGTCCCGTGAGAGAGATGGAGGCTCGGTAAACTAAAGCAACCCCCCCGCCTCCCTTCCCCTCTGGGCGCGAACAGTGCTGAACCAGATACCCGGGCGGGCATAGTTGGGAGAGAGCCACATCCCCCCCCCCCCCCCCAGGTCTCCGTTATGCAAGCCAGGTCGGCCCCCTCATCCACAATCAAGTCATGCATGAGGGAAGATCTGTTATTGACTGACCTGGCGTTAAGCAACAGCACCGTCAGGCCCGAGGGGCGGCTGACAAGACTCCCTGGCACCCTCTGGCTGGGAGCAAAACCAGAAGTAGGGACAGGTGTCAACCATCTGTCCCTCTTTCTTCTATGCGGACACGTTAAGCTCCCACCGCTGCAACGTCCATTGCCCAAGACTACCCCAATGGCAGCGCCTTCTATATGCATAGAACTGCAGCTTGTATAAATGAATTCAGACCCATAAAATCCCACACTTGGAAAAAATCAAAGAGCTATAGTGTAATAAGCCTGCTTAACAATGTTATGTTGAACACAGTGAAACTGAAGAAAATAAAAATATTTTTCTTGAAAAACTTAAGCCACAAGCTTCGCGTTCAGAGTTTGGTTTCTCCTATAAAACATGAAAGAAGCCAAATTTCCCTGGAGCCCATTGCTAACTGAAACGAAAACATTTCTGATTATCTAGTCTAGCTGGCAAGCAAAACACAGTGGAGCCTTAGTAGAAACCGTATTGGCAGCTGTTCCTCTAGGGAAATAAGAGTTAAAATCAATTGTGCTTTTGAGAAATATACTAAGTGAACTTGTAAAGAACTATAAACTGTTATTCAAAGCAGAAGTCATTATAATCCATTATATCATTCTGTATGATAACTATAGACAAGCAACTCTTTCTGTCTGTTGAACAAAAACTTCTTTTAGTGAGGGAGTTCCATAAATCAAGTCAGGTACCTGCCTTACAAAAAGAATGCCTGTTTAGAGATAGCATTGCTACAGATGACAAGAAGCTCCCAAAGCAGCATCACTATTACACTGATCCCAAATAACTGGGATACAGTACATACAGAGAGACACTGTGCTATCCAAGCTGGAGCAAAAGAGAATTTTAAAGCTCAAAATCATTAACTTGAACCTGCAGGCCAAAACATCTGAAAGGCACTGATTTTGGGAAAGCTGCTATAAAGCATGAAATGTGTTAGCCCACTTCCTAAATGGTAAACCAGCCTTATTTTATTGATTGATTGATTGATTGATTGATTGATTTATTTATTTATTTATAACATTTCTATGCCATACCCATCGCAGAAGCCTCAGGGCAGCTCACAAGGCCTTCTTTCTACAGTGTTAGTTTTCTCACTATCTTTGTGATTTACTTTTGACCCTTCTATTATCACACATATTCACCACTAGCAATCCCACTGTCTGGATCTGTAAGAAAAAATGTTCTGCCAGATCTGTTTTTTAAAATTTGTAACAGGTTTTTCAATGAGTAATAGTGCTAATAATGAAAATCAAACCTTCATTTTCCATGACATCTTTGTCCATTATATGGTTAACCAAATATAGATGTGTATTTTATTTAGAACATGTATTGCTCACTTTATAATTAAAAATTCCCAAGATGGCTTATAGAGTAAGAAGTATGAAATATAGTTCTACCAAAACAGAACAAAAAAGGCAATGTAACAGTTAAAACAAAACAAGAGAGCAAAGAATAAAATTGAACAGCAATTCTTTTAAAATCACCACTGACCTATAATACATAAACTTAGCCTGGTCCCTAAAACTTGCTAGGACAGGCACCAAGACAACTGCCTTGGGAACAGCATTCCAGAAACATGGTGCCAATAGAGAGAAGGCTACCTCCCTGAACTCTGAAGATGGGGGCATCCAGAGAAGGGATCCAGACTACAATGGCAAGTTTACAGGAGAGCATACAGATGTTAACATCATACCTTATTTGTGATTTTGTCCTCTAAACAACTAGGTACCCAGTCTTATTAAGCAGAAGTCCAAGTTGCATAGACCATTGGTCTGACCCCCTCAGTGTAAAAATGCTTATGTTTCTAGCAAATCGACAATTATTCATTTGCTACCAATACTAAGTTAACGTATATTACAAACTACCAAATGTAGTTTATATTTTATTGAACTACCTGCTAGTGAACTTGGCTGAAGAGTAAGAAGCTTTGCAATACTGCATTTGTAAGAACTGCCTCTTTCAGTTCTTATCTGGTTATGAATATATATAAGCCTTGAAATCTGCTGACATACTTCCTGGTCTACATGTCAGTGAGGCAGGGTTTTTGATATTCTGTAGATATGGTAAGTATGGAAGAGAAGAGAAGAGAAGAGAAGAGAAGAGAAGAGAAGAGAAGAGAAGAGAAGACTTTCAAATGTAACACTGATCTCATCTAAAATTTCTATTGCACAAAGGAAAAAACAGTCCCTAAAATGCTCAGGACCACTCTGAACATCATTACAGGTAAATATGTCTCTATGAGACTGTTTTATGTCTCCTTCCCATTACATCCATATTCAATTATATTTACTAAATTCCATGATTGTATCTTTAACTGGAGACCATACGAGAAAGAACATGACTCCACAATGGGAATACTAAAGAAAAGCCTACAATAAATCCAAATACAAAATGGTAAAATGTACTGAATACTTCTGGATGGTAGAGCAGGTTTTAGTATTGCATAAAGTCCTGCTATAAAACAATTTTTCTTTTAGTCAGTTTTCTCAGTAAACCACTGAGCTTGCCAAGAACACCAATATTACAAGGTGTTACTTGTCCCCAAATATTCTTAGTGCCTATCTTTGTTTAGATTACACTCCACTTTATAAGATACATTTTATAGCTTATTCATAAGGGAAATATAAATCAGTATGGACTTGAATCAGTCTATAATGCAAATATAAAGACTGTACTTTATCCCATGTTAACCTACAGATGTGGTACAAACAAGTTAACATTTTATTATCCTTCTTATGTTAAAGAAAAGTAGCTTCAAAATGTGTGGATGGAGGCTTCAGACTTTCTCTGTCCTTTTCCATTAGGAATACATATTTATCTCTGCTGGGTTTCAAACACATGTTTGAACAGTGACTTGATACATACCCAAAACAAAATCCTCTTCTCTGCTTTGAAAAATCCAAACTGACCCCTGTAGACGAACCCACAGAGGGAAGAAGAGAGTAAATCTGTAGTAAATGCAGCCGTCAAGCAGCAGAAGAACGTTTGCCATGCCAATTGGATATCCCAGAAAGAAGCCACCTCCTCCAGTGTAAACAGAAGTCCACCCACTGGAGCATGAAATACAGAGGCGATTCCTGCCCCTGCACCAGCCGTAACAAAATTCCTCCTGTAACAAGATGGAAGTAAATACTTAAGAAAAAAAAACCATAGACATACAGCACAGCCTTTTCTCAGAATTGAATTGTGCTTATTGGGTTTTGCTAAGAAGTTGTGCCCTTTGTCTTTAGATCACAAAACAGAAACTGTGCATAACTGATTAATGGCTAATATGGAATAAGTGCTGGCTTTAGACATTCCTGCTAACCAAACTAAAAAAAGGGGGGATACCTACTATCTGAAGGCACATAACAATGCATATTGAAGAAATGAAAAAAGGCCACCCTTTTGACAACTGAAGCAGCATGTTTGGATTGCTTCATAAAAAGGCTGATGATGTTCGTCCATCGTTTTCGATGAGGACCTTGACATCTAATGGGTTGTGAGTTGTCCACGGTGTGTCCGCAGGTGGCTGATAAGGCCGATACGGGCACGGAGCGTTCTGCCACATGTCAGGCAGACATGTGTGGGCACCACTCTTGCAACATTTGCAACTCTGGCTTTATGGAGTGCTCGCTTCTCTTGTGCTATTGTTGTCCTTCTGGCTTCAGAAGTTTGGCAGCCTTGGTGGATCAGCGTGCACCATGTCGATCGGTCTTGTGCCAGGGTCTCCCAGGAGGTGGTGTTGATAACCAGGGACTTGAGAGAGGCTTTCAGCATGTCTTTGTATCGCTTCTTTTGTCCCCTGTGCGATCATTTTTCTTGAGACGGCTCACCATAGAAGAGCTGTTTGGGGATGCGGTGGTCTGGCATCCTTGCATCATGGCCTGCCCAGCGTGTCTGGGCATTCATCAGCAGGGTGTGAACTGATGGCAGGCCTGCTCTGGAGAGGAACTCTGTGTCTGGCACCTTGTCCTGCCACCGGATCCTCAAAAGTCTGTGGAGGCAAGTTGTGTGAAAGTGGTTCAGTTGCCTAATGTGCCTCCTGTATACTATCCAAGTCTCACTGGCATACATCAGGGTAGTTAGCACTACTGCTCGGTAGACTTTAAGCTTTGTAGCAAAGCTTATTCCATGGCAGTCCCACACTTTGGTTTGCAGTATGCCAAATGCAGAGCTTGCCTTGGCGATTCTGCAGTTGACCTCGATGTCAATTGTCACTGTGCAGGAAAGGGTACTGCCAAGGTATATAAATTGGTCCACTGCTTGCAGCTTTTGTCCCTTCACTGTGATGGTGGGCTCTTGGTATTGGGCTTTCGGAGCTGACTGATGCATCACTTTGGTTTTCTCTGTGTTGATGAGGAGGCCGAAGTTGTTGCATGCTTCTGCAAATTTGTCCATGCTGGCTTGCATTTCCTGCTCTGATCCAGCATTCAGGGCACAGTCGACAGCAAAAAGGAGGTCTCGTAGCACAGTCTCCTTTATCTTAGTGACAGCCTGGAGTCTTCGCAGGTTGAACAGTTTCCCATCAGTCCTTTATTTCAGGCTGACTCCCAAGGAGTTGTTCTGAAGGACGTCTGTCAGCATGGCTGAGAACATTATGCTGAACAGGGTCGGTGCCAGCACGCACCCTTGCTTGATGCCATTTGTGATGGGAAAGGCCTTTGAAGCTTCTCCATTGTCCAAAACATGAGCTGTCATGCCATCGTGGAACTGACGTACCATCAGGATGAATCTGTCAGGGCACCCAAACTTTGACATGATGAGCCACAGACCTTTGTGACTCACAGTGTCAAAAGCCTTGGTGAGGTCCACAAAGATGGTGTACAGTTCACGATTCTGCTCCTGACACTTCTCTTGGAGCTGTCGGGCTGCGAAGATCATGTCCACAGTGCCATGCTCTTTGCGGAAGCCACACTGTGTCTCGGGTAGTAGACCCTGTTCCAGGTGGTCAGTCACACAATTCAGTAACACACGTGCAAGGATCTTGCCTGCGATGGAGAGCAGTGATATTCCTCTATAATTATCACAGACTTGTCGATTTCCTTTCCTCTTGTAGAGGTGCATGATAGATGTGTCTTTCAGTTCCTGATGAATGGATCCTTGATTCCAGAAGGACTGGAACAGCTGAGTGAGTTTGTCGACAAGCACTGCACCATCTTCCTTATAGACTTCTGCTGGGATCGCATCAGATCTTGGGGCCTTGCCACTGGACAGCTGGCTGATGGCCTGTAGGGTTTCAGGCTTTGATGGTGGGGCATCCAGGCTGTGGTTGATATCCGCCTGGGGCATTCTGTCAATCGCCTCGTTATTGATGGAGGATGGGCGGTTCAGTACGGATTGGAAGTGCTCAGCCCAACACTGTAGAATCAGAGTCTTCTCAGTGATGAGAGTTGCACCATCTGAGTCCAGTAGAGGGGAGCTCCCTGAAGACTGAGGTCCATACAAAGATCTGAGGGCTTCGTAGAACCATTTGGCATCGTTTCTATCAGCAAACTTCTGGATTTCATCTGCTTTGGCACTCAACCAGGAGTCCTGCATTTTGTGAAGCTTGCTCTGTACAGTCCTGCGAGCGTTGTTGAAGACATTTTTCTTCGCTATTGACAACAGGTCATTCTGATGAGCATGGTGAAGGCGGTGCTTTTCGGCAAGTAAGGCCTTGATCGCTTCATCATTTTCATCAAACTAGTCCTGCTGTTTCCTGTGTGAGGGTCCAAGAACCTTTAGTGCAGAAGAGTGCACAATATCCCGGAAGTGTTTCCAGTCCTTCTCAGCATTTTCCTCTAACTGCAACTCTGAGAGTTCGTTGCCAAGATCTTTTGCTAGTGAAGCTGCTGTGTTGGAGTTCCTTAGTTTACTGACATTGATCTTTTTCATCACAGCTTTGTTTCCCTGAGAACATCTCTTAGGCTTGATGTGAAGGCTTAATTTGGAGATGATGAGTTTGTGGTCAGTCAACAGTCAGCACTAGGCATGGCCTTGGTCACCCTTACATCCTGTCTGTCTTTCCTCCACACGATGACATAATCAATGAGATGCCAGTACTTGGAGCATGAGTGCATCCAGGACATCTTTTTGCAAGTGGGCAGGTGGAAGATGGTATTAGTGATGATCAGATCATGAGCCACACATGTCTTCAGTAGTAGTAGCCCATTGCTGTTACATTTGCCAATTCCATTTTTTCCAATGACGCCATCCCAGGCAGAGTGATCAGATCCTACTCTCACGTTGAAATTGCCAAGTAGAATCAGTCTGTTGGTACGCTTCATGGATGAGAGTAGGGCATCGAGATATTCATAAAACTTGTCCTTTACTTCATCCGGATTCATCATTGTGGGTGCGTAGGTGATGATCAGTGTGGCTTGCTTTCCTCTCGGTAGTGGGAGATGCATTGCCATGAGTCGGTCGTTCACACCCTTGGGAAGACTGGCAAGTATAGGGACAAGATGATTCTTAACCGCAAAGCCAACTCCAGATTCATGACGTTCGTCACTGCTACGTCCACACCAGAAGAATGTATAACCGCCTCCTGTTTCTGTGAGCTGACCTTCGTTGGCTAGGCGAGTTTCACACAGAGCCGCTATATCAATTTTAAATCTTGTGAGCTCTCTGGCGACCAGGGCTGTTCTTCTTTCTGGTCGATCTGCTGAGGGGTTGTCTTGAAGCGTGCGTACATTCCACGTGCCAATAGTCAGTGGCGTTACTTTGCGTTTTCATTTTGTTTGCAGTTTTGTTGTTCCACCCCATAAGATGGGATCCCCTCCAGCCGCGGTAAGCTGGCCAGGGTTCTGTGAAGCAACAATGTTTAGGGCACCTTTTCTAGCCCCTTCCTCTTGCTATGGAGGTGAGCAGTGTGGTCCTAAAGAGGGCTGCTCAGTCACTCAGGTAGATGCCGAATCCAGCTGTTGCTTCAGTCAGCAAGAAGACGACCATTAGACCTGAGCCGCCTCTGTGTAGGTCTGCAGCTACAGCTCCCAGTGTATCCACACCTGCTGCTTCATCGCTCGCCCATCGCCACAGGACTTTGATGTTGAACTGAGGATGTCAAGACTTGTGCATGGATTGGATTAAAGTGAGGGAGAGGTGCGCATAGTCAGCCTCACTCTCTTTTCCCAGAATCCATCTTGCTCCAGTGGCAGGACAAGAGTCGAGATGGTTGGAGGTGGGCTGGGCGCAGTGGTTGACCAGGGCCTCTTCATGTCTTGCCAGGCTGTTAGCGTACCACAACGCTTGCAGAAACCGCCTTCATGACCATTGGTCCTATTCTAGTAGATCTCATCCGCTCAATCCACCAGAGTCTGTCTTCACATGCTTGGGACAGACAAATCCCTATCTCACTGAAGCTCTTGACCCAACGGCTACCCTCTACCTGGTTTGGCCAGCCTGTTGAAGCTGTTGCCCGGGGTGTGGCCGCTGCGCATGCTACAGCTACTGGGAGCCACAGGTGAGAGCTGGGTGACAAGTGGGGACCAAAGGTGGGTGAGCTGCCCTAAGAGGACACGACATGCCCTACACCAGAGGTGCTACCCCCTCCCTGATCACCCCATACACCCCAGGGTGTAAAAAGGCTAGCCCTGTTAGGGACAGCATGTTTGGACCAGAAAAAAGGGGAGAATGTGAACATTTTTTTAAGGTAAGGATGGGTAATTCAAGTTTATAGGATTAAATTGTTTGTTTTAATACAATTCCATGGTCTCCCAGCCAAAGCCTGGTGCAAAATTGGGACTTAAGGGCTAGATCAAATTGTGTACTTTACCCAGATGTAGCTCTAGACTCTACAGGCTTCATGTACAAGTCTAGAGCTACATCTGAGTTGCTACAGGTTAGGGATTCTAACCGAAAGCTCAATAAATGGCCTGTAGAGCTGCACAAAGACCTGAATGAAGTCATATTTTACTGAAAACAAACACAGAGGTTGAGGAAAAAGAGTAATTTATACAAGCGTTGTTATAGCAGATAATACTGTAACGTCTTCAATGAGTTCAGTGGTGAAATCAATGGGGCTTACTTTACTAAAATCACAATATGGTATTTCCATGATGTACTAGCTATTATGACATGAAAAAAGATTAGTCTGATTTTGACATAAATTTACAACAGTTCCCATCTCCAGTCTTCTGGTACTTCCAGAATTCTCAAAGATTATAGACAGAGATTCCACAACGACATCTTCAAGCTCCTTCAACACCCTGGGATATAATTCATCTGGCACTAGAGAACTGAGCGCATGGGTAGTGTGAAAATGTCCACTGGTACATGAACCCCCGATCTTCAGACCTGAGCTTCAGATCTTTAGAACTGTTCCATTTGCCAACATAAGTCATAATACAAGCTGCTTCTTTATTCTGAACTCATAAGAACATAAGAACAGGTCTGGCCTGATCAGATCAACACCACTGGTTTGATCCAGCATGGCTGTTCTTATGTTCTTATGAGTTTACCATTTCAGTTGCCATTCTCTGCCCTTTTCTGCACATTTTTCAAGTGTGGTGACCAGAACTGTACACACTATGTACAGTTCACACTATGTACAGGGAGCCAAGGTTCCATTTGGATGCCAGGAAGCATTTCCTGACAGTCAGGACTCCGAGGGTGTGGAATGGGCTTCCACGAGAGGTCGTTGAGGCCCCATCGGTGCGGGTGTTCAAGGATAGGCTGGACGTTCACATGGTGGGCATGTCGTGAGTGGAGCCGGCTGGTGCCGGAGGTCAGACAAGATGGCCCGGGAGACCCCTTCTGACTCGCTATGTTTCTATGTACACTAGAGCCACACTGTGGCTGTACCATATACCTATATAAAGGCAGTATGATGCTAGTTTTGTTCTGCTTTCCTTTCCTAGTTATGTCTAATATTTCATTTATCTATTTCACAGCACTTTTCACACAGCTGCTGTGACATTTGACATTTTCATTAAGCTGTCCAGCCCCCTTCCAATCCCTTCCTTGATCTGTCTTTGCTAACTCAGATGCCATCAACTTACACTTGAATTTGGGGGACAGTTTGCCTTAACGTGCACTATCTTGTACTTGTAACTCAGTAGCCTTGCAGTTACTAGGAGATCTTAGCACACAGTCCCTTAGCAAACTAATAGGAAGTGTTGCAAGAAGCCACTCACCTGTTAACCTAGAGGGGAGACTGCTGCCTTTCCTTCCACAATCTGCTCATTATTCTCATTAATTTCAGAGTTAAACATTGCCTAACAGTACCACTTTCAATTGATTTCCTCAGAGCGTACTTAACTCTGCAGATACTTGCCCAGTCAACCACTACTGGGCAATGTACATATGCCCTGGGCCAAAGAGAAAGAGCAAGCACACTGGCTACTCCTGTATCAGATGGAGTGCTAGAGGCCTTCCTCATCAGTTGCATCCTCCACACTGGCCCAGACAGGCACCTTAACTTCGGAAAAAACAGACGTGGGTTTGCTTGTAAAACAGATCTAAATGACCAACAAACTCTGAATTTTGAGCAAGGTGATATATGAATGCATGGATTGTTGGAGGGTATCTTGAGCTCCTTGGCTCTGTAATCATCTTTCTGTAGTTCACCTACAGTTGGCTTGGCCCATTATGGCCAAATTCTGGTGAATAGTTCTCCTTGGCATCATGGGCTTGCACCAGGCTAGAGAAAGGAGAACAGATATGGGAGAAGGATAGGAGCTTCTTGTTTTGTTGTGTTCAAAGTGCACAATATTTTGTGGCATGTCAAAGGCACAAATTTATTGTGACATAATGAGGTTTCATGAACTGAAGTCCATTGTAGATAAATGTCCAAAATGCTGACTTGTCATCGCTTGTGAATGTGGCATATGTGTCAGTTCATGCAGCTATTCTGACATAACAAATGCTTGTGTTGTCTTCTATTTTTATATAGCTTCCATTTTGTGACTTAATGACATTGGAGAATTAGAAAGAAAATTAATATCTGAATTGAATTGTGTATATGTTTCTATGTATTTACTGTATACAAATGTATACACACTTATGTTCCAAGGCCTACTCTTGATTATCTCTTCCTCAACAAAAAAAACAATAGGCTGGGGTGTAGAAACTGTAAAGATACATTCTTGGTCATGGGGCAAATTTCTTCCATAAGTAACAGCTTAAGAAATATATCCCAAATTTATTTCTCAAATTGCTGAAGAAAGTTAAAAAGCAAAATATATCATGTTTATTTGAGCTGTCTGGTTATCCTTAGGCCACAGATAGCTAGTAATAGCTTTTTGTTTGGAGATTCAACAAACAGTGTAGTCAGAGATTTTGGATTTATTTACATATTTTCATAATCGAGTGTTTTAAAGCTATAGAACTTGATCCTTCAAACATTCCCAAATAAGAGTTTGACATGAACAATAACACTGGTGTACCATATCCAGCATTAAGTAAGACCCTATAGGGTACCCCATGGATTTGCAATGCCATCATTTTACAAATAAAAGATTAACTGTTTGTAATTCATGTCTGCACTGCAAAATCTGCTGATTTATCACACCCAAGTATCTTTAAAATGTTTTATACAAAACTAGCAAACTTCATGGCACATTGTATGCAATCATTTCATGTCAACAATGTCCATTTAAAATTCAGTGACTGTTGTGAAGGAAAAGTTCTGCTCTATGCATGCACTGTAGTAGGATAAGCTAGAGATTATTTCAACAAATTCCAGAAGGCAATGAAGAATCAGATCAGCAGTCTTAAATCTGATTGCCTCCTAAACATTTTGCACAACAATTTTACTTTACTATATACTTCAGAATGAAGGTGTTCAAAAATGCAACATAATCTTGTTTTTCTAATCAAGAAATTCTGAAAGACAAACACAAGGAAAATGACCTTGTTTACACTTAGAAAATACCATTATTTGGAACAACCAAAATCCAATAAAATTGTGCAAGTTTTTGAGTTTATATATAACTTTTTATCAGGGAGGCTGATGGCCTCAATGTCAGCAGGTCTATATACCCACTGTGAATTTTAGTCTGAACTGTCCATGGTACTGAACCCAGTCCATTAATGGGTATGGCTCACAGCTCCTTAAAAGTTTGGTGTAAAAGACTAAGTGGATACTTTGCCTCCCTCCAACATTGGAGCCTCCAGAATCCAGTTTGCCCAATCCAGTTTCCTAAATACACCTACCTGGGAGTAAAATCCACTGAACACAGTTGTCCTTACTTCAGTAAAGTGCTGCTGAATATTTTGCAAGAGAGGTGTAACTAGGCAAGAATGATTCCTGGATAGTCTGCATTTCAAAGCCTCCTGGGGGGGCATTATAATAACTGAAAAACATAGCCTTTACCAGACTGTTACCAGACTAAACTATTGCTTAAGCCATCTTTTGGAACAGACCTGGGCATTGTATGGCCCGCGGGCCACATCACATCCAGCCCGATGGCTGACCCTGACTGGCCCGCATGAGGTTCCTGGCAAATTAAAAGTCAATGCAAATATATATCTCGTAATATAGATGCAAGCAATACAACTGCACTGCTTTTATTTTGAAGGATCTGCTAAATTGAATTGAATGTATTGCTTTTCATGTAATGTTAATGTTTTTGTGAATATTCATTAAATAGTGTTCTGTGCTCCACATTTTCATTGTATCATTGTAATGTTTCATTTACTGTTTTTATAGAGATATATATTGAGCAGAGCTGTAAGTGTATTGGTCCAGCCCTTAACAACTGTCAAAGATTCTCATGTGGCCCCATAGGAAAATTAATTGCCCACCCCTGTTTTAGAAGTTAGTTTGAAAAATATATTTGATAAATTTCCTTACTTGTCAGCTGTATTCCAAAATCGGGTAAAGGATGGGAGATGACTTCCAAGGACTGTTACTTTGAACTGGCTCAGTCCATACCCTATTATTGCACTGGAAACATATTTCTAAGCATTAATATTATATTTAATGTACATATGTGAAACATTTAAAATGGCAGAAACCCAATAAACAGGTGCTATAAAGCTGCATAACAATTTAGGTTCATTCTTCAGATTTTATGCCCATGGGTGGGGAGTTAGGAAGAGAGAGAATGACTCACACAACTGCATACTGCAAAAAGAAAATTGCAGTGTAGCAGGCTTCTCCTCAGGGTTTCAGCCGGCTATGCCCTTTTTCACAGTTTCCTTCCCCACTTCCCCCCTCCACAAATAGGCACATAAAGTTCTGTGGTCCCTAAGTACACTCCATTTTCATAGTAGATTGTGATGCTCTTTATCAAATGAAGTCTAGAAATCATCTTAAAATTAATTATTGCCTAGTAAAGTCTAACGCATATTCACTGTTCTTGCAAAAAGCTGAGACTAATGTTATGCAATTTGAATAAGAAAAGGCTGTGGACATGTATGTGCATGTAGTAATGTTTTATTTTCTTTTAAATCTGTAACTCTGAAAATATTAACTCCTTACCCCAAATGAATCATAGGACCTTCTGGTCCACAGAAAAGTCCAGATGCCACAGCTAAAATACATGAGCCAAATGTTCCCACAAAAGTCCTGAAATTAAAAATTTGCTGAATAGAAGTTCCATTCAGAAAGCCAATGACTTCTGGCAATCCACTTGGTGCACCTGTTGGACAAAAGAACTGAAAAGGAAAAGACAGTGTTGTCTGTAGTACTCACATATACACAATGATACCTAAGCTCACTTTTTTAAAATTCTAGAGGCTAATTAGCATTTTCCTATTTCTAATCAAGATCATCATATAATTTCATTGTCACTTTTCGCCTACAGCATTTTAAGAATTGTGGCCTATTAAGAATTTTCTGTTAGAAGCCCCTAGCTGCCTCACAGAACTGCCATGTTGAAAAATCCATTTATATAAATAACATTTACAGTCCTTGCAGGCTGCATTGGAAGCTGCCTTGCACAGAGTCAGACCATTGGTCCATCTAGTCTGGCATAGTCCACACTGACTGGGAGCGGTCCTCTGGGGTTCCAGGCAGGGGTTTTTCTGCCCTGCCAGGGACTGAGTCTGCATACAAAGTGTGCCCTACTACTACACCACAGCCTGTTCCCAAACAGGCTCCTTTCACTGGAAAGTTGTTCACAAGGCAGATAACAGCAATTAAAGAATTCTTGAAATTCAATCAAATTAGAAATACACAAAACCAACAGTTAAAAAAAAAAAATCCCTCCTAATCCCTAAATGCCCCGTGGAATAAAATGCTCATATATCTATAAACACAGAGTATGGGAAAACACATGCCTTTTCCACTGGAGAACTTCCCACATCTTTTAAATCTAGATATACTTTTAATCTACCATAAAATCCAATGTTTATATTTCAACCACTGGACCATGCTGGTTTGGGAAACAGATACAATTTCCTTTTATCCTTCCCATCCATTCTGAAGTGATTGCATTAGTTGCACTTCATATAAGCAACATAAGCAATTCTACTGAGCCAATTTCTTCTGGCATAAGTTTTAGAAGCCATTCAAGTATCAGAGAATGGAAATAACATTCCATGTAATCCTTTTAGACCTAAAAATAATCAAACCTCTATCCAACAGGTTTGTTCATCTTTAGCAATATAGACTTTATCTTCATTTGATTAATTAAAGTGAATCTCTTCAAATACCATCTAATTTTGATTTAATAATTCTTTGGGAGTTCTGTTTGTATTGCCGAAAGCTCTTTCTAAGATCAGTACTCAGGATATGCTGCTTAAATGAAGTAAGCCAAATGGCAAATCTGTAATGTCTTTAAGCACTGGGTCTCATTATCTTTATCTGTAATGTAGCTTCTTCCTTCTCACAGAACTTTATAGCTGGGAGTTTAGCACTTACCACAACCAGTCCTGAGGATAAAATTATCATAACCAGTCCAATTCCAAGTATGCAGATCCAAGTCATGAGAAAACTGCCTTTCTGCCAGTTTAACAAATACATTGTTATTAGTAGGAAAATTATGTCAAAACCCTCCTGGGTATTCACTTGCCATTAAAGTTCCATTTTCTTATTTTGTAGTAGCCTAAGATTTAGATCTAATCCACGTCTAATCCATGTGAAAGACGCCACATGAGGTCTTCCCACTACTGCCACAATGTGGCTGGTCTCATAGCTCTCCTGCTTAGAATCAACTGGGAATGGGCACCACTGCAGGGGGACCTCCATGCTAAATGGACAAACAATGAGCATGGCTACATGTACACATCACAGTGGCAGTGTGAAGAAACTTTTCCCAATCACTTCCATGTGATGTGATTTAAGAAGTAGCCCAAACCTCAGAATTTCCATGATCACATTCATACAAGTAAAGAGCAGCACAACAGCCATGTGAAAAAATGGTGCACAGGCTGCCTGATGTGGCAAACAACAACTTACCATGTGAAATGGGTAACTTGCACTATGCCACTTCCATCCTAGCCCCACAAAACTTTCTTTGGGACCAAAGCATCACTGACCCAATTGCAAGAGAAGAGCATGTTATATTTCTTTCTCCTTGGCAGCTTCAATCAGTGGGATTATTTGCTAGCTGAGACCAAAATAGATATTTGCCCTGATGATTTTAACAGCCTGTTTCATTCTGGGGCAACTATCCACTTAGTGGCCATGTGTTTGCATGGTTCTGGCTGCAGCATGCCTTAACTCTACTGCCATCTCCTGTTCCTTCAAAAGATACATAGAGAAATTCCCTTGGCTAACCCAAATCACCACATAGTGCAGGGTATAACAATTGGTGGCCCTCCAGATATTTTGCCCAATAACTCCCATTACCCCTTATCATTGAATGTTCTGGCTAAAGCTCATGGGAACTATAGAACAAAACATCTGGATAGCCATACGTTATTTGCCCACGACATAGTGGATGTCAGCAATTTCACCTAGCAAACCAGCCACCATAGCTGTGTTGTCAAAATAGCATTCAGCAACTAATCCACATCTTTAGGAACACATATGTTCAAAAAAGCAGGAAGCCAAAACAAATGTAAATTTTGTTTCACTATTCTTAAATGATTCATTTGACTGAAACAGGTATTAAATTTGGAGTAACATTTAAGCTGAAAATAGATGGACCCAACAGCACGTGTGTGTGCGCGTGTGCGCGCGTGTGTATTGTCATTTGTTTTTTGGCGCCAGGTGAAGACCTTTTTATTCAAACGTTATTTTAATTGTTAATATTATTTATTTATTTATTTATTTATTTTTGGCCAGGTCGACTCAAATTATATTGTTTTTATATTGTGTTTATTTATTTATGATTGTGAGCCGCCCCAAGGCTTCGGCGAATGGGCCGGCATAGAAGCCTCCTAAATAAATAAAATAAATAAATATTGCATTCTGGTTATTCACATCTATTTTAAATGTTTCAGACCGCAGTCCTATGGGTTGCACTCTAATTGTCTGTAAGCGTCTCTATTCGGAACCTTACAAGTATCCTATGCAGAGTGAGAAGAACAGCAGAAGTGACCTCTGCCTGCCAGCATCTCCCATTCTCTGCATTTTCAGCCATCTAGTGTCATGATCCAGGATGCTGGTGGAAAGAGTCAAGACAGAGACACTGAAACCCAGGCAACAGGCAACAGAACTCAAGACAGGCAAAATTCAAACACAGTCCCAAGCCTAATAGCAAATCTCATAGCAAAGTCTAAATTGAAGTCACAGAACAGACCAAGGTGAGGAACCAGTAATATGCATCAAGGCAAAACAAGGACATGGTCATGAGCAAGCAAAGGATCAAGAACCAGGAAGATAACAGAGGCAGGGAACTAGTACCGGAGGGAGGATAACTGGGTGGGATTCAGGAGTGGCAAAGGTAAGCAAGGCAAGGTGGCAAGGCAGGGAAGGTGATGCAAAGCACAGTAAGAACTAAATCAGGCAAGATGCAGCTTACAGGTCCATGCAACAGCAAGGCAGGATACATGGCAAGGAGAAAGTACTGAACCACGCCACAGCTAGCAGGAAGACAGTGAGGCAGTTGTGAGACAGTGAGGCAGTAGCTGGGTCAGGCAAGGTGCAGGCACTACAGGAAACAGGAAGAGCAATGTTGCTGAAGCAAGTTCTGCAGGGAAGAGCTTGCTCATCTATAGTTCTTCCCCCAGGGCTCCCAGCTGGCACTCCATCCACCACCAGATGGAACCCCAGAGCAGCCCAGATCATGATCCTTTGTGGGTTTTCAGAGGTAAAGGGGAAAAGGCTGCTGAGGACACAAGATAGTTTGTATCTTTGCAACTGTAATCTCTTCTGCTCCCCACCCACTGGAATGACTCTTTTGCCTCTCTTCAAAGGTTAAGTACTCAACCTCAGAGTCACAGCTGGTGTGATTCTTTCCACACTGACTGCATTGACAGTGTGTGTGAGGACAGGGGTCAGACTGCAGATTCCCAGTTCTGAGTATCCTATGCCCCACCCCACCCCCTTTAAGCCTTGGGGCCATAGCATTAGTTTTTGAATTCTCTAGAACTTTTCATCAGGGAGGCTGATGGTATTACTCTGTTAAAGGCAAAAATACACATTTAGCCTCAGCTGACATAAACCTCTTATGCTTCAAAAATCTTTATAATATTAAAATCCAGTTAACTGCATGCCCAACTTAGGTTGCCTCCTACTTGCATTTACTCTGAAGTAAGTCTTACTGAACTCACTGGAATTTACTTTTGAACAGACACATAGAATTCTGTAAAATCCCTGTCAGAACATTGCTTGAAATGTAAATCAGGTATAATTTCCGAATCCAGTTAAAATGGATTCTGCCTAAAAGTATGAATACCATATCTACCTCTGTATGCTAATATACAGTTCATATTGGTTTGATCCAGATTTAGTCAAACCAAACTCAATGAAATCAGTGGAATTTCATATGGTCATGATTTCATTGGGTTTGTATATGTCTAGATGTATTGGCTACATTACACAGTGTCACAAAATATATCTTCCATTCTATTTTTTGTAAAGATATTGTTCCACCTTTTCCCCATTTGGTTTTTGCTTATGTTTGATTTCTCCCTAGTCGTGTTGTCTCCAGTGTGCATCACAAATAAATTGACTCCCACACATTTTCAGTAAAGTCATGGTGCTGAGGCTGGATTCACTTGTGGCTGAAAGCCCAAGATGTGTCTTTTGTTTTCTAGTCTTAAATAGTTCAGCAAGTTACCACAGATTTCCTGCCTTAGACTCAGGTCAGCTCTTTGACTGCAAATTACAAACATGTGGGATGTTGCACTGATTTAAGAAGACCAGATACATATAACTTGGGTTAAATACTTTGCAAAATAAAAGGGGATACACTTCAGGTTTGGAATATTTCCTCTAATTTCCTGAAGTTTTCTTATACATAATAAGTAAACAAAAATAAGTAAACCTTTATTCTAGCCATTAGTAGAAGAAAACCTGTTTTGTAGTCTCCTAGCAGTGATAATTATTCATGTTCCTAGTAGTGTTGAACTCTAATGCCCATTAGTTTCTATCAGCATGCAATAGTCAAAGGGATGGAAAGTGTACATCCTTGCTTTAATATATTCATAATGAAGAGAAGGGAAGAAGCAGCAGCAGAAATAGAAGCAGATGGGATTAGTGCTTATAACAATATGCAAGTTTTCTACTGAAACATTATCACCATTAGATCACCAGCAAACCTGCAAGTCAACAGATCAATGCTGTCTGCAGATCTCAAAGGCAACCCACACCTCTATTGCTAGCCAATAACTCCCAGAGTTTATCTATCATAGAGCAGGGTCAGACTAGAGAATGAGCCGTGTCCACTGTCAGCTTTGCATACATCTATGATTCCAATATTGGATGGAAGAGGGGATGAGGAGATAAGAGATAATATATTAATTTGTTTCTCCCTCCTTGATGTTGTCAAAGCTGGGACAAGTGGCAAACCTGGGTCCGCTTTTGCAGATCCAGCCATATGTCAGAGTTGCCAAAGTGATGACTGCGGCTTACCACAAATGGAAATCAAATGTCACTTCAGTTTTTCTGCCCCTCAAACCAAGTTTAAGAGTTGAATCAGTAGAAGGCAATGCTGTCCCCCATGAAAACATGGACCTCTGATTGGAGAGGAAAAAATTGACCTGTTTCTGCCCCCTTCTTTCAAAGCCTGGGGGAATCAGTGGCACATGAGAACAGTATATACCCTCTATCTTCATTTCTAACTAGCTTTCTGTTGTCTCATTGTTCTGACCACAAACAAGAATTATACTATTGAGAACTCACTGTTAAGTATAAAGAAGGGAATTAAGTAACAAAATGGGGACTTGTTCTTTGCAAACCTCATCAAATTGTTTTGAAATGTAAAGATAAACATTCTCTGTATGGTCTTTCTTAGGCAACAAACTAAACATTACAGCAGCAAAACCCAGGTGTCAAAATGTGGTTTTACAATGTTCTTTTGACATGTGTGGCAATTAAACACACACCTTTGGTAAGCAGGAAAGGGTGCTAACCCTTCCCCTGCCCCATCAGAACCAGTTCTCTCCCTTCTAAAAATGATCTCATGGAAGGGCTAACTTTCAGTCTCCAAGTCTCACCAAGAAAAATAAAACAGCTGAGAAGGGACAGTTTATAGATGGGGATGAAGGATGAACATCCATCTCCTTCCTGCCCTTCCAGCTGCAACTTCAATAATTATTTCATGTTTTAGATTATGGTAAGACACAATCACACAAAGAAGGCTCCTTAAACTCTTCTATGCAGTGTTAGCTGCTGCCTTTAAGAATATGGAGTCTACATTTGTTTTCACTTTGATGGTAAAGTTTTTTAACCTTTGGCAGGTTAAAATAAAGACCTCATGCACAGAATTACTTATCTATGGAGTCCCATTCAATGGCAATTGGGCTTTTCTCAACACTTCCAGCAACAGGCAGATTCAATGAAAACAGAAACTATGCTACACCACGGATTTAGCATTCAGCCACTCACACCAACTATGAATGCAGAGGACATTATTCTGAAATTAATTGACAACTTCTGTTATCTCAAGTGCAACTAGATGCGTCATGCCAATAGCAGGTATAAAGGGCAAAGTTAAAGGCCCTGCAACCATCACACCAAAGTTCCAGTTCGGATGAGGAAACCATGTTGACTTTTTTTTAAAAGTTGTAGGCTAGGGCTGACTATACAGTAAGCATTATTTCTAGTTTGGCTATCATTGCCTGATTTCTTGTCCAATAAATCACTGCAATATTTAGATAAACAAACTTGTATTTGGAACAACCATCAAATCCATGGAACTGTAGCTGATGCACAGTACCCAGTTTGACTTTACTGCTAATAAAAATTAAGTAACATTATTGGAAGCAATGTCTAGACAAATGCCAATACAGCTTGCCTTCACTAGTGCAACATAATTGGCTGTTAGCAATAGTGGCAAATTGAATGCTGCCCAATATATCTCAAAAGATGTATGTACTGTTTCTTGTTTTTCTTATTTTTATAATAAATAAAAACTCATACCAATCCAAGAAAGTGTCTATTGGCCTGACAGTACAATAGGTTAGTTAATTTAGGTTAGTTAATCAATTTATGGGTTAATTGGATACACCATATCATGTGCTCATATGGTCAGGTTTTAGTTTCTTCTGGACAGATTCTAGCTTCAATATTGCTCATGCCTTAATTCTACATTGCTTTATATAATTGTTTTAATCATGTCACCTTAACTTATAAGGTAATGCTTGCTGGATCAGACCAAAGGCCATCTAGTCCAACTTCCTGTTTTCTACATAGCCAAACAGGTGCCTCTGAGAAGCCATTGAAGAGGACATGAGAGTAATCCCTATTCCCCAGTAATGGGCATTCAAGGACATAACTTGTCATGGGATTTGTGATGCCCACAGGCTATAACCAAGGTAAGCTCAACTTAACTTTAACAGTCTAACAACAGTCATTCTTGGATCAAAATTTTGGTCCAGAAACACATCTACTATTGGCTGCTGGGAAAGTAAGGCTGGTGCTTTCTTAGAGGCTGAGGGCCAAGTGGTTCTTGATGACACAAGTTCCCTCATTAAGAGAAACTATGCTGTATGTATGCATACATGCACACACAGACACAAAAGAACCTAAAATCTCTCAGCATGCCATACACCTGACCTTTGCCAATAGTATTTCACCTGGTATTTATAGAGAGAAATGTGGTCAGGAGCAAAGACTGAGTAGCAAAATTTGAACTGAACTTAATGATTAAAGTTATAGGAAAGGAGAGTTTAATTTATTATTTTCTATTGTGTTACCTGAATATAATTCTCCACCAGTTCCCATTTCAGTTTGATGAGATAATCAATTATTTGATGGATCAGGAAACCCAGAGTTCCTACTGCTATTCCAATGATGCCCATCATCAACCACCGATCCCAGTCCATTCTAAAAATTTAACAACAAAAAAGCATAATTGTATAGCTGCAATCATCTCAGAATGGTAATACTTTGCCTTTGGTAAGGGGTCACAATAGCTAAACAGCTAACAGACACAACTCATGAAATCTAGGTTTTGAGAATAAAATCTGGAGAGTTTTCTCAGATTCCAGTTGAAAAATATCATGTTCTTTTAGTATTTTGTTGTTGTTGTTGTTTAGCTACTGCCTGAGAAGCCAGAGGGCTTAGAGCACTTCACTGACTTAAGTCTAAAAATGCTCAGTTATTAATACATGTAGTAATAAATACATATCTCAACCATCTCTCTACTCATGTTTCCCTATACACACATGACCTATATCAGCTGCCTCAAGTAATCAGTCCCATGACTAATGTCTGATTATAATCTCAGGTCCTGCATGCAAATTTGCAATGAAAGTGAATTCATTTAACTTTTGTAATGTATTCTTGTTATAACACTTGAAAATTACAAGCATAAAATTTCAATATAATATTTATTGTAATCTAATATCCTTCATTTAACTCTCTTGAATATCCACCACAGTCATGCCACAGTGTATGTAGCACGTAGAGAAGGGGAATTAGCTCAAATGGTAGAGTGCTCACTTAGCATGCGAGAGGTAGCGGGATCGATGCCCGCATTCTCCAGTTTGTGATTTTATAGGCTGGACATGTACATGGTGGGCATGTCATGAGTGGAGCCAGCTGGAGCCGGGGGTCAGACTAGATGACCCAGGAGGACCCTTCTGACTTGCTCTGTTTCTATGTTTCTTATTCCTTACCGCTGAGATGCAAGAATGAAAAACTAGATCTGTGTTCCTCTAGATATTGGGTATATTTAAAGTTTCCAAGAAATGCAGAAAACTCAGTCCTAACATTCTATAATCAATCATCCCAAAGCAGCCTGCCTTACAATTATTTTAGACATAGAGGAAGCATTTTTGCAATACAGTTGGGTATGAACTCAAGCGTTTGTCTTCTTAAAAATGTTACTAAGTGTGCAATCCAGTCCCTGTTAAGACAGAAAATTATCCTATAATTCCCACCTAATAAAGGTTGTGGTGTAGCCAATTTATTTGTTTAGGATTGGATATTGTATTTGGGGTTTTAATATCTGTAAACCACCTAGAGAGCCCTCTGGACTATTGGGGTGGTATATACATGCAATAAATAAATACATACATAATAAAGGTATTTCCCAGCTTATGGACATGAAAAAAATATTGTGGATCTACAATTTTTTGTTTGTTTCCCTTCAGAATTGTGTGTGTAAGTTTCTGATCTATCCAGTCTGCATGCACTCTTCACTGTCACCAATAGATGGCACAAGAGGACTTTTTCTTAAAGAACGAAAGTCATGTAGCTTGCCGGGATTGTGTATCGTGAGAAGTGCTAGAACAGAGCTGGAGTAAGATCAGCAATAGCTACAAACCAGTCTTTGAACAAGACCTACAAATTCCACTTTGATTATGTTGGATAATTGCTTTAACTGAAAAAGAGAAGCTTAAGAAGCTAAAGTTGCCATCAAAATTTAAATCATATATGTTCAGGACACAAGACTTGTTCTTGATATTTATATCACTGTATATCAGAGCATTTAAATCAAAGCAAAAATAACAGTGTTCTTGTATCAATTATTTGTTTTGTTAGTAAATCCTTTCTGATTATTCACCATTACTTACATAATGATACACACTAAGAGGCATCTCAATTCTCCGAGTGTCATTACTTCAGTAGCCAAAATAGCATGATCCAAGCATAAGAAGAAGATGTTAGTCTCAAGATTTACAAGAAGAAGAAGACAGCAATGACAATGGGAAGGAGGGCAAAAGCAGGGCAGGAAAACTTCCTGAAGGGCCTGCTCAGTGGCCATCTCAATTCAAGGGATAGACAGAAAACCAGGTGGGATGCACTGCAGTATCTTGAACAAGAGTATTCCATATTTGTTACAGCTAGTTGCTAGAACCTCCTGCAAACTGAGTGGCTCTGTGTTGACAAGTGACACAGCAAAACCCAGACAAAAGGGGATTATTCAGTCTTGGAACAGTCATATAAGAAGGTCTTCTCAAATGTGCCTCTGAAGTTAAGTATCAAGAGAAGGGCGTTCCCTGAAGATCTCAAAACCCAACACTGGATTTCACAATCATTTTCTGGATTTCATGTAGCCTGCACACATCCATTGCCCTCTGCCTGCCAAGCAACCCTAGTTTTCCGAAAACAGAGTGCAAGCACAAGTCCTTGTGTATAGGGCTGTTATTAAGCCTTCCTCCAGCCTAAAGTCTAATGTAGGGAGAGAGAAGGGCCAAAGGAATACAAGGTACATATTCCTGGACCTCACTTTTCTTACTCTCCTTAGGATTCTATGTTGCAGATCTTTCTCCTTCACACCTTTAAGAAACTTTCTTCAACCTGGTGCTTCACAGAGGCTTTTAAAGACCACTTCCACACCCATTATCCCTGTTGGCTGGGACTGATGGGAGCTGAAATGTCAAACATCTGGAAGGTACTAGGCTGGGAAAGGAATGAAGCATAGCAGAGGATTACAGGTTTGGGGAGAATTCACTGATTGTTTATCTGTCCTCCGTGTGCAACTTCTCCTGGCCTTTGACTCAATAGCCATAATTCAGCACTACATTTCAATATGTATATGAAGGCAAACTTGTAGGTTTGCCCTTGCAGGCACTTCTTGCAAATGCTACTGAGCAAAAGTAAACAATTGAGAACTTTGTTACCTGTAGGTTTGCCCCTGAAGCCACTTCTTGTAAACACTACTGTGTGAAGGCAAATAATCCAGGCTCTCATGCATGGACAGTTGTTCTTTTTCCTTCTCTTGGAGGAAAGTCCTTCTCTGTGAGCAGCTCCTATAATCATTGCACTGGGGATTGAGAGATTCAATCAAATCTGGCTGATCTTCTGCCAGCAACAACTGTTCTTCGCCCTCAGCTGTACTCCCCTTGCAAGAAAAGAAGGTTGGCATGTTATAGAATCACAGGAGACAACAAAAGAGGCCTCAGTCTGCAAAGGGGGTCCCTTCTGAGTTAGAACTGGAACAAATCAACAGGAGAGAAGACTCTGTCTGTGCCACAAAGACTCACTGAGTTACAGTTTTAGGCTTGTTTGGGTTGCTGCAGTAGCACACAGATCCAACACGTTTGTGTCACCAGTAGCCTGTCAAAACTAGATTTTGTTTGATACGTGACTTTCTCCCTAGACAGGTTTGGTATACAATAGATTGAAGAGACAGGAAAGTGAAGATTTTAAAATCAAGCAGCAATTACAAATGGTTTGTTCTTCCTCAAGATCCCATTCACTTAATATAAAAATCCATTCTTTTAATTTTTAGAAACAACCTAAAGGCTGAATTCTTCATAATTTCTAGTAACAAGCATCCATGAAGGGTGATGCTGTTGTGTTAAGCATTGCCATAAAAGGGCTTTGTCTTGTGCAACACTAAAACTGTTGGTGTTACAGTAATAGTAACTAAACTAAACCCCCACTCTGTTGGCTTTTAGCAAGGGGATGAAGAAACATTTTGTTAATTTGACCTCTTAAATTACGTATCTGGTTCATTTAACTATTTCATTATTGTTTTCATATTTTTAAACATTTTAAAGTTATACATTATTGTGTTCCACCTTGATAGCTTTGTTTGCAAATAAGCCAGTATAGTAATGTTAATAATAAATAAAATTTAAACATGTAAGCAAGCAGCAAGAGAAAAGCCAATGTGGTGTGGTGGTTAAGAGTGCAGGACTGGGACTCAGGCAATCTGGGTTCTAGTCCCCACTCAGTCATGGAACCCACAGGCTCTCAGCCCAATTTATCTCACAGAGTTTTTGTTGTGAAGATTGAGTAGAGGAGAATTACATAAGTCACCATGAATTCCTGGGAAGGGAAAAGTTGGCAAATAAATAAACAAAGCAAGAAGAAAGAGCAGCAGTCTCCATACAATCCCCACCCTCACGCCTTTTCCTTCCTTCCTTCCTGGGAGCTGGTACAGACTGATCTGAAGACAATCAGGTGAGCTCACTGAGGTAGAGGATCTCATAGAACAATTGGCCTAGGTGCCCCAAAACCTGGAGCCATCTCTGCATGGTTTGTATGGCACATTTGGAGCAGATGGTTGCAACATGGGACATGGCCCTTTCTGTGGAAGCATCTCAGTTGTGGAACTCCCTCCTTAGCTCCTTGCTTAACTTCCAGCAGACTGCCAAGATATTTCAGTTCTACTGTGCATTTGTTAGTTAATATTTGTTAGATGGCTTTTATTATTTTGGAGGTGTCTAATGCTTTGTTCTTAATTTTTGTTACAGCTTTGGATGGTGTTAAAATTTGTTCTGTAAATGGCATTGAGATCCTTATGGCATCAAGATGGTCTACAAATTATTTTTTAAAAAACAAACTGTTGGAACATAAAGAGGGAGAAGAATCTGTACACCTAGTGCTGCCACTATGCTTGAGAAATACATTACCAGGAAGCAAAAAAAATTAACTATCTGTTGTACTCTACCACAGACTGTTTACTATACACAGAAAAACAACAATACTGCATGTTTACATGAGATGGCCTGACTGTCAGTAAGTTCATACAAGACAAGTTCCACTGCTTTCTAACAGCCTGCCTATTCATACAGAGGAACAGTGGAAGAACACTGTGACACTTCAGGCCAAGTTCTTTTTTTTTCTAGGAGGTACAAGTGAAAGGGATACATGAGATTCTGGATCTCTCTCTTAGCAGTCATAGTTGATTTGCAGACTGACAGTAGGTACCCAAGAATAGGCATGGTTGGGCACCCACTGAGGACTGATATCCCAGCAGGCACCCACTGACAAAAGCCCCCTGGATTTGCTTCTCCCTCTTTGAATCAGCTTGTTCACCCACTTTGTGCTCTGGCCTGGACAATCTCAGTGGCGAGACTGAGGAGCAGCAGATGCCACAATCTGCATCTTCTTTGGCACTCTGCCCAGCAGCCAAGCAGCCGGTATCAATGCTGTGGAACAGAGGAGCAATAGCAGCTACTGACAATGGTAGTGAGAAGGTACATAGATGCATTGACTGAGGCCCTCAGAAACTGTAGCCAGAACTGCCTGAAGGTTCATGTGGAGCAGGGATCTTACACCTGCTATTTATTTTCAAACAGTGTTTAAATTTTAAGGGCAAATGGAAGGATGTGACCTGAAGTGGCAGTGACCTTGACCTCTTCTAGGAGAATATAGGGGCTTAGATAATTTGAATAAAGTCAAACATCTAAAACCATCATCCAATCTGTACAATGCAGTGTTGAAATGCTACATGGATGTAATAATAATAATAATAATAATAATAATAATAATAATAATAATAATAATATGCTGCCTTGGCAATGTAGTTCTCTGGGCAAGGTGGGAGGGAGAGAGTGGGGAGCAAGAGAAAAGATGGAAATGTCTGATCTCAACTTTTTCTCCAGAAAGGAAGCAGCACATCTTAAAAGCACAAGATTGTTTGTTTAAATTTGAATGTGTTTTACAGGTTGGACTTATGCAGCCAGAAAACAGAATCACTGAGTTCAGTGGAACTTACTCCCAAATATGCTAATATGAAATTGCAGCCTTGGTATTCCTAATAGATTGGGCATTCTGGTATGCACTGCTGCTCTTGTGTGTGTGCATGAGTGTACACACAATAGGTGTTGGAAAAAATGCAGCCTAACAATTATCAAGATGGGGTGAACAGAGATCATACATAAGACGTGGGATGGCTGGGTGGGTTAAGCTGGACTACTTGTTGACCGTGTGGGGATGTGGACCCTCAACACAGTATAATAATCTACTAACACAAAGGGAGGGTGTGGAACCTTGTTGCAGCTCAAGCCAGAGGCACCCACCCCTCAGCTGTTGTACCTGAATAAAGCTCTGAGGTTAGTGCCCTACAATTGTGTTCAGCCTCCTCCTTGAGATGCCTCTATCAACTTGATTTCTCTAGGGAAAGAACTTACGAGTATTTTTACCTAACACAGGCACACACAAGTATTTTATATATACATACACACTGCAGTTGAAACTTACCACTTCATCACCCTTTCCTAATCTGGTGCCCTCCAGATTAGCTGGAATTCATCTCACATCAGCCCCAGCTAATCCTAAAGAATTCTAGGAGTTCCAATCCAGAAAATTAAAAAGCCACGAGGTTGGGGAAGTCTGCACTACACCAAAGCTTATAGATAGATGCACACAAAATCTTCAGTCAAAACTGCTACACAAATAAATGAAATATTTATTTACTATTAAACCCATTTACCATCAACCCATTGGACCGAAATGTAGTAATTACTCTGCAGTATATTTTGGCTGCAAAAACAGGGAATCTGCTAGTAGGAATTCTAAAGGAAGTGTCCCAGATCATTTTTGTGCTGTGTTCCATACATAGTTTTTACTTTGTAATATTCAAAAAGAGCTATTTCTTTGCACATAGGACAAGACAGGATCAGCCAATGAAACTGACTGTAATAGTTTAAGGACAGACAAGAGAAAGTATTTCTTACTGCATTCAGAACTTAAATGTATAGAATCCACTGCACAAGATGCAATGACAACCACTAGTTTAGCTGGCTTCAGAATGGAATGAGACTAGTTGATAGATGATTTTTAAAAAATCAAAGTCTATTAGTAATGATAACCATAATGCTTCTTTATCTGATTACAATTACTGGGGGACAACATTGGAAGGAAGCAATTGACTTCTCAGAAACATTCTGGTTGGCCAGTGTGAGACGCAGGTTACTAAGCTAGATGGACCTTTGACAGGACCCTTTACATTCTCACATGCAGGGGAACATAAACTGCCAAATCTTTTTAATGGGCGATGCTTCTTCATGGTCTGAAGCTTGATGTACATGCAGTTTAGGAACCTTTACTATTAAACTGGAATTTTGAATTAATTTGATGGTATACCATACAGCCCTTCAACTGCCCCCCATATGTACCAAAAAAGGAAGTCACCACATTCAGATTTTATTTCACTGACATTTGCAAAGCCTTCAAACAGTATGACTGTCTTTAAATTTTCAAAACAAAACATGACCTGAACATTTATTAGGCAAGTAGACTTCTGCAATCAGGCAACAGTTGTTATAATCAACACTGGAATCCAATGCAGTCAACACACACTATAAAATACCATGCTAGCACTACTGTATTCTCAGGAGAACAGCCTCCTCAAAGTGGTGCTCACTAGATGTGTTGGACTGAAGGCCCTATCATTCTCTGCCTGGGACTGGTCAGCGTTACAGTCCAACACATCTGCAAGGTACTAGGTTGGAGAAGGCTTCAGTAGAGAATGAGCCAATCTTTCAGAAAACCTGAAGATATCCAGAGGGCTTGTCCAGGCCATTTTGCTGCCCCAGGTGATGTCTCCCTATTCTGCATACAGACACTGACCAGACTGAAATCTGCATCCTACTTCAGCACTAGTGATGGGACAGCAACCTCCATTGCCATCTGTAGGCAGATTACTTTATGAGATGTTAAGACAGGCTGTGTGGCACACATGCAGCTGTCCTTGAGCAGCTCCATGCTGATCTCTACCCTGCTCCAATCCACTGCTTGCAAAACCCATCACCAACATGTTTCTCTCCTCACCACATTCCTTTCCAGCAGACCAAAATGATTCATCAGGCTCATAAAATACAATCCTTTATTGGAGCTTAACAGGTTTTGCTATGATACAGGGCATTTTCTTGAGAGCCATTAACAAGTTGCATAAATCAAAGTAATGATCCCTCCTCCAACCTGTGGGAGTATCTTCTGCCCATGTGAAGAGTTGATTCCAAAGTGGAGTGTCCCCTTCCTCTCTTCCTTTTCCCAGAGTTTTGACTGTGCTCAAGTTAGTTCACACTGCTTGTGGGCAAAACAACAGGTATGTTATGTTGTTGAGATTATGTAACTAGTACACCCATTTGGCTTGGTACAGCTTGCTGCATCTAGGAATTCACTTCCCTCCCCTTTGTTCTACAGTGTGTCCTGCCACCCCACCGCTGTGCTCAAGATGGTTTGGTTCTCTCTCAGACTGACTAAATTTGCTTAATAACCTTGACCTGCCACCTTCTCCCCTTCTATGCTATTTGAATTCTCTGGCTAAGAGTTCTATAGTGAATACTAATAGGTCCCATCTCCACACTTGTCTCACTCTGCCTACCGGTAGGGACAGCTGTGTATATACAGAAATAGCAAATGAATTAACCGATTGGATGTAACATTAAAGGTGGGAGTGGGGAGAAAAGACTTCTGGAAGTCTGTGTCTAAACCAAAGTGGAACATAATAGCTACAGCCATCTACAGTACATACAAAAGTAAGTTGTCTTATCAACATTTATTTCATATACTTGATCACACGGGGCGGACAGCTACAATTGAGAGGTCAGATTAAAATTGTGTTAAGACACATTTTAAAGTAGCATTGTCTCTTGATCAATTATACATTCTGTCATCAAAATGTAATCTAGTGTATAATTTTCTTTCATACCCAGTTTTCCATCATGTTCGAAGCAAAATGTTTATGAAAGGTGTTACAAGTTCTTACAAGTTAGTTCCTGTGTTTGGCCATTACCACTTCCTTGAATGATACTTTCGTGAAAATTGGTCATCCCCAATATTCTTACCTTCTGGTTTTCAAAACACCAAAGCCTCCAAGGAATAGAATCCTTTTTTGCTAACAAGGAGTTTTTGTGAAACATATCAGGAAATATATTCCTAAATCAGGAGCACTCAATTTCTTAGACTTTGGAAGCCAGCTCATTCTACTATCTGTGAAGGAAGTACTATGGCAGAACCCTGGAGATGGGAGATTTGCCTTTCAGGGCTTAGTACTGAAGGGTAACAACATGCCACATGGACTTAAGAAGGTGGATTTCTCAATATGGAATCAAAACAGTGAGGCATGGGTGGAAGTCATAGGCACCATGCTGGTCATCCAAGCTCCAAAAGGTCACCACTGCCTTTTAGGAAACTGATTAAAAGTTATATTATTTTGTAGGGCCAGAAAGAGTTAATAGTTACAACACTGGTACATGGAAGACGGAATCTGGTTGACGTTCATACTTTCCAAAATAAACTGCTTTAGAATCACTGGTGAGAAGCATCATGCTGATATCTAGAAGCAAAGATGAAAAAGGAAAGCAAACTTTAAATAAAGCTATAGTACAAATGGTCAGGCCTTTATATATATACACTGTACATCAGTCTTTCTCAAGCTTGTGCTTTCCATTTGTTGGACTTCCAACTCTCAACATTCCTAGTTTGCAATTTTTTGGTTGTTAGCCACATGCTGCATTTTGGGAACTGTTACCCTCCCATCCTTTACAGGGCAGGCACACATGACTATTTTCTGCCAAATGACACAACACACATGCACACACACATCCCTCTGTTAATGGATTATTTTTCAAAGAGGGAAAATAATTTTCTTATAAGCAGACAAACAGCTAAGTTTTCTTTTTCCCAAATGTGGGAAAATGCTAAACAAGTTATAGCCCTAAGCTGAGGAAGCATACCTTCAGGTTTATGGACATATGTTATAGACCACTTTTCATGAGAAATGATGTAAGCCAAGATATTTAAGTAAAGTACAAAACATATTGTATCAGTTACAAAGACCACATTCATGTATATATTACTCTTCCCTTTAATGTATTCACATGCAGAGTGCTAATCCTCTCCTGGTTGCCATATACTGTACTTTGAAAGGAAAATGTGATTTATATACATATGGTCACATCATGGGAATGGGACACAGTACTTTCATTTTGTTTCTTGCATAACTTAAAGACCCACATTCCTTACCACTTCTAAAAATCCTTGCGCTATAGAACTGCTCGTGTGTGTAATGAAGAGTGTCTGTGAGCACAAGAAAAAGGAAATTTGTCTTTGTTCTAGATAGTGTCTTCCACTTTTCACACGTATGAATAAGCCATATTTAGGGCAGCAGATCTTCTAACCCAGCCCGTTACACATTCACCAGATCCAGTAATCCTTGGCTCACCTTTACACATTCAACTGAATAGAGAAAAAACAGTTCAACGCAAGATCCAGCTGAACCAGATTGCTACTTCCCACAATGACTAGACAGATCTTTCCTGTTCAAGAACAGAATAGTATTTGAAAGCCAGGTGCTGCAGGATGAACAATATTCCATTTGTTGGGGAGTCATCATGTATGCATGTGTCTATGGAACTCCTGGATTTTTTTAAATGAGATTTTTCTAAGGCAGAATCAATCCTCTGGCTCTAACAACTTATACTATCCCCCTAGCCTTTTGAATATTACAGCAGTAGCACCATCAAAGAACACAAAGTCATCAAAAAATACATCATTGAAATGTTTGCCAGTAGAGGCATCCCTCACCTTATTCATAGTTTTAAATAGCATAATCCCTGTAACGGTCAAGAAGTATGATAAAAATACAAGACACAAAGTGAACAGTCATGAATGCAGCAATAGTTTCAAATGAAGGATCATTCTGTTTCCAAGATTTAAAAAAGAGACAAAGGGTTGTATGTTCAGAGCCTAACCTATGGCCAATCACTTAAGCAAACTGTTTCACTGAAATTGCTTCAGCAGCCTAAGCTATCAGGCCAAAGGGAGTGGAAGCCAGAAGTAGATTAGGAAGAGCATTTGAGTTCTTGCTCTCAAAAGGTCCTACTAGCAAATTTAAATATAGAAATAGCACAGCCTTGGAGAATATGTTCCACATTTTATTTACATTTGCAGACTAACTTTATTCTTAATCACATATCCATACACCTATTTCCTTTTTTTGTTTTGTTTCACTAAAACTTAAATGCATGGTTTATTAGAACAAAGACTGTAAACAAATATTTGCAATGTCCATTACATGTAACACACAGGAGCCGCTTAAAAGAAAATCATTCCCCCGTTTTATAAATACAAGTATCAAAACAATCCTGACCGTATTTCTGTGACACTACTAGCAGTCAGCACCCACACCGTTGCGAAAATTAAACAAGTCGAGCAATGGTATTTGCAAGTACCTGCTACTTAAACAATTTTATCTGCAGCTCTTTTACTAAAGCAAGATGGATAAAGCATGCCATTTGTTTTTTTGTTTTCTTCTTGAGAAAGTTTTCTGAAACATTATTCCACAGTAACCTGACACTTCCTTGTCATGCTTTCGTCTTGAAACAGTGGTGCTCCAATTTTAGTCTACTTCAGACTTATACTTTAAATGAGTGCCTTGGTAAAGAGGAAAAAATTGTGCTGCCTTTTTTTCTGATTGTACCTGAACATATATGGGGAATACATATACATACATACATATGTGTGTGTATACATATTCCTTCAAATGTCCAGATCACAAATACCAGCAGAAACTTAATATGTGGGTGGTTGAATTGCGAGATTGAATCAAGACATTAACATAAGTAGAAGTTGTTTAAGACAAGTTTGGGATTCAGCTAAAATTAATTGTTGTAAGTTTGTCCTTCTGGAGGTTGTGGAAGCTTCATATTTTCTTTGGACATCATTAGACGCCTTAACTCTTGAAGTATAACTTTAATGCTATAAGAATTTTGCCATTTTGCTAACACTGGTATGCTTCGTGCATCCACCTGTAAAGAACAAAAGCATACAATTAAGTACAGAATAGTGATTCTATAATTCTGGCAACATACTTTCAGTTGGGGTTTCAGAGAATCTGAACAGCAGCTTAATTCATGAAGCAATGTGAAAACTAGCTCTACTGGTACATAAGTGCCCAGAATGAAGCATATTGTTTGTTACTTGAGGATGAGCATTTTTCTCTTCAACTGAACAAAAGACATTTTTAGTTACACATAAAGAGATCAAGTTTTCAAATAAGAAAAGCTCTAAATTAACCAATTCAAGGGCAGGAAGGCAAGTGAAAATTAAAGGATTCTCTAGGTTCAAGGACAGGCTAGAAAACAGACTATTTTTTTAAAAAAATGTAGTGATTTCTTTTAAATTGAAGAGAAATATGAACAGTGAAATTCATTCTGTGATAATTGGTAAAAGTTTGGCTTTCCTTCATCTTTAAAAAGAGATCAGCTGCTCAGCTAATCACAAATAATTTATTAGATAAAACTCAAGCTATCTTAAAAGGCAAACTCTTGTAGCTGTTAGTGTTTACAACAGATACTCTTGTGAAACATTCCTCAGTACCTTGATTACAATTTTGTTAATAAAAAATAAGGCACCAATAAAGGACAGGAGAAAATGCCAGGAAATAATTTGAGTAGGATCCAAAGTTCACAAATATAGGGGGCTGGCAGAAGTAGCCTTCAAAAGCTTTATACCCAGTGCACCCCAGAAAAAGACACTTATCCCATCCCAAATGGACCAATGCTCATAAATGTTGCCTGTGTTTCCTTCCTTCAGCATAGCTTGCACCATCCAACAGGGTCCTTTAATCCACAGCAGACTCTTTTCAGACAGCTTCTGTTGATCCTCTTACAGTAATATAAGTTGAATCTTAATAAAGAATCTATATTCTGTAGTAGGGATAGGAAACCTTCTATGAGGATCAGGAGAAATGACCCACCACTATCACCACTGATCTCTCCAGAGGCAGAAGCGCCAATCCCAGGCAGAAGCATAATCTGAACTCTACCAACTGATAGATTGGTCAGAAACTCAGTTTTGTTGCACATGGGCTTTCCTCAAGTGCACACTTCAAACCTGTCAGATCATCAAAGAAGCACATGAGCAAAGGGGCCATAGCTATTGCACAATTTAAGTCTGTTCGCTAACTGTCAGCAAAGGCAAAGTACAATGGATGAACATGTCTAGTTTACTCTGTAGTGACCTAAATTATGGTCCCAAGTATTGAAATCTGGGGCACTGACTTGGGGTCATTTTTAACATATATTCCCTAGATGGCTCTTCTCCCCAATTCATACACACTGTAAGAGACATAAACGTAAACTTATATATGGTTTTCAGGCTGTGTACAAGTATTGTCTCATGAAGGAAGTTGATAGCATTAATATAACTTAAAAACTAACTCAAACTGGGATTCCTATTCTGTAATGATTTTACTCCACATAACATTAGTTGATAGTCTTCACCATGACTTTAGAACAGTGCCTGCAAACAATAGGACAACATATCAACTTATGGCATATAATAGCAAATGCACACAGAAGCTTTCAACCTATTAGAATCCTATGCAGATTTTATGCAGGCTTAATACAGCCCACCTATCTTGATGCCAACTTACCATTCCATTTGAATTGTTTATTCCATTCATATTAATTTTAGTTACAAATCTAACTGTTGGAGGTGCTTCTGGATATTTAGGTCCACACTCTACTTTTAAGCTGTATATTCTGTTTTCATAATTTGTCTAGTAGAGAGAGAGCAGGAAAAAAAGAATTAATCCTACTGAAAGCTAATATACATTGAAAATAATACTGAAATAAAACAATCACATCACTGAATCATGTGCAGAGCTCTTTCTTAACTGGAAAGATTGTACTGAGCAGTTGTTTTGGTAGAAGTGGGGGTGGGGGTGCCAACCAGATAGCACTGAGTTAAGTCTCCCTGTCCCTACTGAACAACTGAGTGGTCTAACTTTAGCAATTTCAAGGTGGCTCCATGCATGCAGCCAAGCTGTTAAAACTGGGGAGAACCACACAAACAAAAGTGACATATACCTGGTTCTCTATCCATCTGGGAATATAAATGTACAGCTCCCCTGGCAACAAGTCAGCTTTCTAAAGTGAAAACAAACATTCCTAAAAAATTGCAAGAAGGAACTGGCACCACTACTTCATGGTGGTGGTGATTATTTGTTGCACACATACCACTAAAGACATAAAAGTCCAGAAAAATCCCAAATTATTTCTGCCTCTAGGAGAGTTCACCCCACAACAGAAAAAACAAAACTGTTCAGTTTGGGATTATGAAATGCTTTTTAGAATTTAACACGTGTTTATATATTTGTACCTAAGAGAAAGCAATGAGGAAAAAATGTGAAAAAGTCTTGAGTGCCAATTTAAAACGTTCTCTTATTGTCCTATTCATTAAAGAACTATAATTTCCTTCTTCAGGGGCTGACAGTCATCTAAAAACTATGTAGTAAGAAGAAATTTATAGAAAGAGTAGAATAGTTATCAGACAATGAAATTGTATCTCAGCCGATTAAAGTCTACACCAACAACTACTAGTAGCTACAAAACAGGATGGTCACCTGCTTCCTTTGACAATAAGAGGGATGAATGAAGTGCACCTTGTCAACAAAATGGGCAATCTGAAAACAAGAGACCAATTCATCTTAAAAGTTTGAGAGCTCAGTGCTCCTGAGTTGCTTTTGTCCCTGGATCCTAGATGATAACTACAGTTAGAAGGGCATCAATTCAGTTTTGCCTAATGTACCAACTTACGTTGATTTCTTGAAGTACTAGATCTGGCCACAGTGATGCATGCTTTGGCTACATCTCAGCTACATTACTGTAAAATGTGGTATGTAGTGCCAAGTTTGCAAGTGTTCTGGAACTTCAGCCAGTCCAAACACCGAGAACACTCTTTTGACTGGAGCCTGAGAATGGGAATAGGTGACTCCTTATCAAGTTAGACTGTGGCTATTCCCATGACATGGCAGCTCATCATGGGTTACACTTCCTAACTTGTGCTCACTGGGTCTACATGACTCAACTCCCAAGGGGGGCTGGTTATGCAACTTAGTACCAGTGTCAGTATGGCTCATTTTGGGTTCAACAATGCATAAGCCACAAAATGTTTGCCAAATAGTCACTAGCTTCCAGTTTCTTTCCAAGCCCAATTCAAACCAGCATTAGAATTTTAAAGCTCTGATCAGCTTGAGTTCAGGTTACCAGAAGGACTATATTATGCAATATGACTCAGCTGCAGTGCTAAGTTATATGAGAAAGGCCCTCCTTTGTGTCTGCCAACATCTTACACCTGATTTTTCTACCATATAGCATAGCAATTCCGGTTGAGGCAGGATTGTGACTTGCTAGGTTGACTGTTTTGTTTATCAACATATTGCTGTATTGTTTTTGTTGGCTGATGCTTTTTCTTCTCTTTCTATAGTTTGTATATTGCTATTTTATTATGTTTAGTCGAGTATCCTTTGTAGTAGGTGTAGACATGAATATGAAAAGGTAGTATAGATTTTTTTAATTGTACTCCTAATGTTGTGTCATGTAATGGAAGACCATACCACTTGCTTACATGACTTACATTGTTTTCCTAAATGGTCAAAACTGTTCATGTACATTATTTCAGCTATCCTTTAAAAAAGCAGAGGCACTATAACTGTTTCCCATCTTCAGAGACTGGGCAAGTGATGACCAGGTACTACATCTTTTCCATAAAGCATTTTCAGTTTTAAAATACCTACTGCTGTTCTTATGTGCCATCAAGTCATCTCCAACTTATGGCAACCTTACAAATCAAAAGTCCTCCACTTTAGAATCATAATTAACTCTGTTACCTTTTAAATGCAAGGTTTAGATTGTTTTATTTTTAAAATGTGATTTTTGTGCTTTCCTGCTTTTTATGCTTTTACTTGTTTTAGATTGAAACTTAAAATGGCAATTAGGCTGTGTGGTTTATAATTAAATTGAAGTTGCAGAAGTCCTCTTGGAGTCTTGACAGAAGAAAAACATTTTTAAACATTTTAAAATGCATTAACACACACAAAAACCTCAAACAATAGCGCATTAAGCTCAAAACCTAAGAACCTGTATGCTGTAGTGGTTAGATATAATATTGGACTGGGACTCAGCAGATCTAGGTTGTAGTTCTCGCTTGTGCAGTGAAGCCCTCTGCATGGCTTTGGGTCAATCCAATGATGTTCAACCTAACCTACTTTACAGGGTTGTTGTGAGAATAAAATGCAAAGGACAATGACCATGTAAGCTGCCCTAGCTTCCCTGAAAGTAGGAAAAAGCAAGATATATTTCATATTCAACATCTACATGAAACCACTGGGAGAGGTCATCCAGAGGTGTGGGCTGCGGAATCATCAGTACACTGATGATACCCAGCTCTACCTCTCTTTCTCAACCAATCCAGGTGAGGCAGTGGCTGTACTGAACCGGCCTGGCTGAGGTAATGGGCTGGATGAGGGCCAATACACTGAAGCTCAATCCAGACAAGATGGAGGTCCTGTTGGTCGGTGGCTCAGGTTTCGGAGTAGATGACTTGGACATTGTCCTGAATGGGGTTGCACTCCCTCTAAAGGACAGAGTCCGCAGCTTGGGAGTGCTCCTCGACCCAGAGCTTTCTTTGGAAGCTCAAGTAACTGCGGTGGCAAGAAGCACATTCCTTCAGCTTCAGCTAATCCATCAGCTGTGTCCCTACCTGGAAGACGACTGCCTAGTGACAGTGACATATGCATTGGTTACTTCCTGATTGGACTACTGTAATGCGCTCTACATGGGGCTGCCCTTGAAGACAGTCCGGATACTTCAGATGGTGCAAAACAGAGCAGCCAGGTTGCTGACGGGGACTGGGTGTTATTCTCACATAACCCCAGTCCTCTACCAGCTTCACTGGCTCCCCACTGAAGTCCGGGCAAAATTCAAGGTGCTGGTTATCACCTACGAAGCCCTTAACAGCTTGGGACCTGGATACCTAAAGGAACGCCTGCTTCCTTATTTGCCCTCCTGCCCCTTGAGATCGGCAGCAGAGGCCCTCCTCTGGGAGAGACATCAGGAGGCAAAGTACCCAGAGGAGGGCTTTCTCTGCAGTGGCGCCTCATCTGTGGAATGCGCTCCCCAGAGAAGTCAGCCTGGAGCCGACATTACTTGTTTTTCGGCGCCAGGCTAAGACCTTTTTATTTAAAAAATATTTTAACAACGTTTAATATCTATAGGTTTTTAATTGTGCAGCCAGGGTGTTTCCGGATTTTAATTGTATTTTATACTATGTTTATTTATTTATGTGAGCCATCCCGAGGCTATAAGTGATGGGACAGCACACAAAAACTCCAAATAAATATAAGATTAATAAAAGTCATATCTGAAATGCGGCAAATAATGCACAATCTTGAGCATCTGAATGCTCCTGAATTTGGTTTTCCAACTGGGCAAAGTTTGACCTTCTAGAAGAATTTGAGAAGATAGAAAAGATACTTCATAAATTAAACTTATTCCTTGCCTTCCACAAGCTCTGTTGATGCAGCTACTACAAAAACAGCCACATTTTAAGACTTCCAATTATAGCAAATGTTTCAGTTTTCCTAATAAACAGGAAGCCATTAATTTCTGCTTAGTTCTAGGATGCATAGATTATTCTGGTATATACCAATCCTAGCAAAGTGCATGTCATGTGAATGGCTAACAACATTTCAGAGATCAACTATGTTTGGAGTCCAAGAAGGGCTTGCTCTTTGGATCCATCATCATGAAAGGGGAGCATGGTATGTAGATACTGCAGATGCTAATGCTTACACCTCCAATCTCACACCTGGGAGGTTAAGGTTAAAAGAGCAAGCACATGCTGAAGAATAAATTATGATAGGTTCTAGCATGAGCCATTATTCCTACATGCCAGAAAGCGAGTCCTAACCTCTTCTCTGCTGCTCCTTACTTCAAACACTACCAGATTCGGTTATAAATGTGCAGACCTGAAAGGCAAAGAGGAAGGCAAACAGGTCTTTATACACACTAGAATGAAAATTGAATTGCCTCAGTTTCTATTCCTTTCTTCACCAAGTTCCCAGTCATTCTTGAGTGCTGTGGTGCATCTGTATGTGCAAAGCTAAAGGAGAGTATTCTTCTCCAAAATGCTCACTGTGACTATATATAATCAAAAGCAAAAATCATCTGTGTGAAAATAGCATTCCCATTTTTGTGGAGCTAAAACTACAGTTTAATTAGAAGTATCTAATATAGCCAGAGTATGAACGAACCAAGAGAACTATGCATTTGTAATGGTGCATAGCTACACACAAGTATTCCAATTGAATGTATGTATCCACCAGAAGGCACTGTTGCCTCAATACAGATTGGATAGTACAAGTCCCATAAATAGACCATCACCTTTAACATTTTAAATATGCTGCTCACATATGGACTGTCAGAAATCTTTCCTATTATGAGAAAGCAGGACTAACTATGGGTAACTTCCACTGTTCTCTACAAGACATCAGACAAATGGGTATTAGGATTTAATCTTACAGGACTTCAGTCACAACTAAAGAAGCACTATAACATAAATGTGGTTAATTGCCATTTCTTGCAAGGATTAACACACACTTTCTGCTAGAACATGACCAAACAGTACTTTCACATGTTTACGTTTATTTGTAGTATTTATATACTAAGTATAATAAAATCCCTAAGTGATTTACATGTAGATACTATAATCACATTTAAAATACACTTTTAAAAACAATTACTGCAACTGTTGCTGCTGCTGCAACACAAAGCAAGACATGAGCAGTTAAACGGAGCAGTAATTTTATTATAAAACAGGGAAAACCTGAGAGAAATGTGTTTCCAGGCGTGTTTGAATGATGTCACATTTTCTTCCTTGCAAACTATATTAGGGGGATTCTTTCCCAAACAGTGGGTGCTGCTAATGAGCAGGTGTACCATGAGGGTTTTACATGGTGATTACCAGAAAAGTCTCTCTGATGATTTTACAAGCCAGTAAGACATATTATGTAAGGGAAGGTAATCTGCTGGATACCCTGGTTTTACACTCTTCAGGGCTTTGTATGACAACAACAGAATCCTGAACATGGTTCAGTTGCCAGGTGGATAAAAATCACTGATTTTTTTTAAATGATTTTTTAATTTTAATCAGATTTTTAAAAATTTTACTTGGATTATTTTAAAACACAGATAGGAAAAAATCTATCTAAAGATAGTTTTGTTTCAGATACAGTATAGTCCTAAGATTATTCATCATGAAGTACATATTCATTTTAATTATAGAGCATGAGGCTGAATGTTCATACAATATTTAAAGCTTTTGGTAAATGCATTGCATTAATCCATTCACAATGTCATGCTCTTCTAGAGGTTTCTGTAATTTTTCTATGTTTAGTTTTACAGCTGGGTTTACAGTTCTTAAAACCATGAATTTGTGATTGCAGAAATCACATGCACCTCCTTCACACCAAAAATTGTTATAACATACAGACCTTAATCCATTGTTCCTTTCCAAATCTATGTACACAGACCTCTTAAGTGCCAAGTTTAAGAAAATCAATGAATAGAAAGTTTGTTGGGAGAATAGATCTGCACAAGAAGCTAAGTGTGAGGAGGGAGGGGCAAGCAGTAAAAATGAAGGTGAAACCTTTTGAGCAAAATACTCCACAAGTCTTTGGATTGTTTTGTGTATAATCTGAGGTTCATCATATTATTCTTTCCCTGGAGAAGAATACCTTTTATAGCAGCAGGCCGTAAAAGAGACCCAGTTTAGGAATATTTTAATGAAGTTTCCCTACCTATGGGTAAGGCATGCATGGATGCAAATTGTGCAGAAAATCATGATTTAAGTCTAGTTTTACTGATTAGTATTTAAATTGTGAATTAAATCAATTTGATTTAAATCAAATCCTCCCTGTCAACAACTAATAGGAAGCTAGTGTAAGGTTTTTAAAACACAGATCTTATGGGAGCATTTTTTGGTGACCCAGCAGGCATATTAGCTGTAGTATACACTAGCTGCAGCTTTTGAATCATGCTCAAGGGAAGCCCAGAAACAAATGCACTACAGTAGCCTAATTATAGTTATCAATGCATGGATCATTGTGGCTAGCTTAGTCTTATCAAGGAACTACTGTAGTTAGTGTACAAACTGAAGTTGATACTGGGCATTCCAGGCTACTGAGGTTAGTTGGGCCTCCAGTAATGGAGATGCATACAGGAGCACCCATACACATGTGAACTATGCATTCGCTCCTTCAGGGGGAATGCAACTCTATCTAATTTTTTAAAAAGAAGATTTAACTTATAGCACTGACCCTTGGTGGCCCAATAATCATGCCCGTCCACCTTGTAAGTGTCATGTCTTCATCATCTTCGAGGCCCCAGCTTACTGTACCATCTCCTACTCCTTTCTGACCTTCTTCAAGTTCTTCCAACAAGCGAAAATTACGAGGGACTTTAACTAATTGAAAGAAGTAAAGCAATGTAAATAGCAAGATTCAAAATAAGAGCTGTCCTCACTTCACCTGTTAGCATGATGGTTAATGTATCCCAGACATTACAAATCCATTTCTTAGAATTCCTGCATATACCATGTTTTACAGATCAACATATTATATATTTGAACTGTTAGAAAAATGTGTCCCCACTTACAAAGTGTAAGTATCATGTACAATGATCTGAATTTTACATTCCTCAGAAAATGAGTCAAATTATTTGGATATAGGTTGAGTTCAATATTGAACTTATCACTGTAAGTGATGGAATAAAAATATCAAATTTTCTATGAGTAAGTTAGATATGAGCAAAATTTGAATGGTTTATTGATTTCCTACATCAGAAAATTAAAGTTTTAATATATAAAACTCGGAATCTCATTTAATCATTACAACAACAACAAAATGGCTCTGCTTGATACTGTTCTTGAAGAAAATCTACACATTAGCACATGGTTGCAAGTCACTAGGGAACATTTTTGTCCAAATCTGAAAATTATAGTTACCACTTTTAGAGCAAGCCAGGATCTTAAAGCAACTTCAAAACTATGGTTTAATAGCCAAGCCCTTTTTTAAAGTAATTGATTTCCCAGTTTGCACATAGAAAACAATAGTTAACTAGAGGTTTCCATGTTCGGTTGATCACCTAAAGGAATACCTTTTCCCTATTTGCCCTCCTGCCCTGAGATCGGCAAAAGAAGCCTTCCTCCAGGAACCCTCTGTGACAGATATGACAGAGTACCCAGAAGAGGGCCTTCTCTGCGGTGGCACCCCGTCTATGGAGCTCCCCAGAGAGGTCTGCCTGGTGCCGTCATTATATGTTTTTCAGTGCCAGGTTAAGGCCTTTTTATTTAATCAATATTTTAATAAGTTTTAATAGTGAATTGTATTATTGTATTCTATTAATTGCAGCCAGAGTGGGTCATCAATTTATTTATGCTGTTAGCCATCCAGAGACGTTAGTAATTGGACAGCATAAAAATTTTATAAATAAATTAGACAGACTTATCAAATCAAGATATGATCATCTGAACACTGCCAGTTCTGGCACTGGCTTGTTCAGATCTTTGACATGATAATCTAAAATATCCATGAAGTTGATAATTCATAGCACCTTTTGCAAATTTAAATTACATCAACTCTCCATAAATAGAAAGCATTTAAGGGTAGAATTAGTACTCTCTGTGATACTCTGAACAATGATTCAGATTAAGAGGCATTAAAAATAAGATTAACGAGGTATGTTTGCAACAATGGAAGGCTTTTGGGACTATTGGTCAAAGCCTGGATGGCCAGCCTTCAGTGGATGGAACTCCACCATCTGAGATACAGTTACTTTTCAATCCATTAATACAGGAAAACAAACATTCACAGAGGGCTGGTTTGGGGAAAAGATCTATAGAAAAAGAAGTTTATAATCCAGCATTCTCCTATAAATAAAAGAAAGGATTTTAAAAAGTGCTCCAAATTCAGATTGTACTACCAGTTGAAGCTGGTGCCCATGTCATGTTACTCATCCATAAATGTACACATTTGATTTCTTCTGTAGGTCAACACTTATGCAAGTATACAATAGTGGCTGTAACTTAGTTTGACCACAAGCATGCTCACATTGCTATTTTTGGAGACAGGATTGGGGAAAGTGCCAAGGGAATTTAGTAGGCAATATCTGCAAGCAAGCTGACTAGGGAACTCTGAACTCATATGCATAAAGCTGGATTAAAGTATATTTAGAATGTTACTTCAAAATTGCAGCCATTATGCTGAAATACACCAATAGGGGATAATGTTTGACCTATAGCATATTGTGAAACCACACAAGCTATAAAGGAAAACACTATCAATTTTAAATAATGCAGTTACTTATCTGAATAATAGCTTGTAACTCAATGTAAGCAAGTACTATCATACAAAACTTAGCACAAGTAATTTATATTTAGTAAAATGTGAGGTATAAAGGAACCATATACTTGGGCTGTGCAACCTCACAACTCCTCATTACAACATAGAGAATGGAAGGACATTTCCATTTTCTGTACTGCTGTGATGGGACGTTGCTATTGCTTCAAGTAGAATTTCCTATGTGCAAACAGCTTTAGAAGGAAAAAAAGTAAAATAAACCAGCTGTAATATCACCTACCTACTTTTTCTAGGACACATGGATAGAAGTAGCATTAGCATACATACAACTAAAAGTGCATTTTGCACTAACCAAGTAAGCAGTTTCTCTGTTCAAGAAAAATATGGTTTCAAGAAGTGTTCTTAAAATTACTGTGTTACTGTTTCCAGCTAAGACTAATAGTGCTTATTAGTTGTCATGGGAAACAATTTTTTAATATAACCTTTAACTGTACAACCATGTATTGCAGATGAAATAAAAACGCCTTGAAAAGGATTGCAACTGTAGTAGCTTCCTGTGTCTTTCAGTATAAGTACTTCATCATTAGTAAAACAGTATAACATTTACAATATTACTGAGTAGTTCAAGTTTAGATTGCAAAGTGTCAATGTGAAGGGACCATAACAGATACTTTAAAGTGCAAAGTTATCTAGCATTCACTATCTTATAAAAACCAGAATTCTTCCCTCACAACTCACATGACTAGATGCTCTTTAAACATACACGTAACATTTGTGGAAGATCAATGGCTCCTCCCTGAAGACTATTAATATTGGACCTATGTACTTTAAAACATCATGAAACTGGATGCAAAATGTTTTAGAAGTATATAAAGAAGGCATTAGTAACAAGAATATACTGTACTTGCATTATTTACAAGACTTTAGACAACAAACAGGTTGTCAAATAATAAACTATTTGTTAATGCTTATATTCATCAATGAGAGGTATTGCAGGCATTGAGAGGAAGTTTGCCCTAACTGAACATAATAGTTTTGAACGGGTGGGCTTTCTGTGCCCTGTAACGGTTGTCTTATGGAGGATATTTATTTTTCTTGCCCTGAGGCAGAGACATAATGAGAGTGTGAAGCCAACTCATTAGCTGTTTGCATTTGTTTCAAAAGCTAAAGTTACCTGGGGGGGGGGGGGAGCATCAGGAAATTAGTTTTGTATGTCTTATAACTATGCATGGCTGTTTATGATTAACAGATTAAAAAGATATTCCCAAAGACCATCTAGAATAACCACATGTTCTTGTACTGGGTCCTGGCCATATTTTTTTTTTTCCAGCTTAAAATATGTTAACACTTTCAAAAAGCCCTGAACAATTTTGTTGTACGCAGGTATCAATTCCTACAAAACAATTTTTGTCAGAATCTGTTGAATAGAAACAAACAATTAAAGGCTCCAGTGCAACTGTGGTTGTATTAATAATTTTGCAAAGTTAGGAAAATTTTGTGTTTTAAAAGTACTTAGAAAATTCACATACGATTTTAGCAAAGTGCTAAATTTGAGAACAGCTGATTCTGCTGAAATTTTGTGTTTTCTTCTGCCCATTTTAATTATAAGCTCTCCAGAGAAGTTAAGTTTTGGGGCTGTATGGAAGTAAAATAAACAAGTGATATACAGGACAGTAACAAGGCATTAGCAAACACTCTCCCTTTTGCATGTGAAATACATTAATTTCAATATTTTCAATTCCTATTACCTTTAGAAATTATTAGCTGTGTTGACCAGGAAACAGAGATTATGTACATTTTCACTACTATATATCAAAAACAGAAGCTTTTAATGTTAATATAACATTACTTGTAAGACCTTAAATGCTTGCAGAATCACAACTGCAATCCTTGTGAGAAGTTTCACAGGACAGACATAGAATTCCGGATCCAATGCTATACTGTTTGATATTTCCCCGTAGGAATGCCATTTCTCTCCCAATGGAACCCCTCTCTCCATCAAATGACACAAGAAGGAAACATCCTGCCCTTAGCAAATGCAAAAAGCTCAGGCTTGAACTCAAAAGAGAAACTGTAGGAGAGAGAAAAAAATGAACAGGCAAGTCCAGAAAGAAAACAGATGCAATGCAAACCTAGGTTCAACTGATATATTCCCATGGCAAATATTCCCATCCCAAATCAAGCATAATTTTACTGCCATCATTTACTCCTACTGTCTCCTGTCTTTTCAGATTGTAAGCCTGAGAGCAGGAACTTTCTGATTGCTATTCTAGCAGCATTTTGACTGCTCAATGGGATAGACAGACTTTGGCAAAAAAAAAAAAAAATAAAATAAAATAATGAAATATTGTTTGCCCGGCCCAGCATTCCTACTCACCATTTATTGCTTTTCTTATATTTTTCACTCAAAGACAGGACAGTGCAGGTCAAGAATAAGTACTACATGTACAACGTAATCCTATATATGGGGCACCTCAGGTGAGACTCTATTATCTAGCCACCAGGAAAGATGGGAGCAGAATTCCTGGTGGGATTTCCCTTACTAAAGCAAGCAGCATACGACATGATTTGCCTGCCCCATGTAATCCTCAAAGTGCATCAAAGGAGAAGGAGTAAAGAAGTCAGCTGCTTCTACCTAACCCTAACCATATCCATGCCTACTCAGAAGTTCCTTTAAGTTCACTACAGCTCATTCCTAGATGAGTATAAGATTGCAGCTTCTGAGACAGAATGAAATCAGTCTTAGTCTGAAAAGCTTTGGCAAGGCACTATTGCTAGATCAGGATCAGCTAACCATTTTTTATTACCTTTTATTAAAAGTAAACAAGAGCACAGTAAAGACATAATATATACTTTGTACTATGTTAAGGAGTGTAGATTAGGAAGGCTAATATAGAAGCACCTGCTTCCCAACCACATACACTCATCTAAGCTCCCTTCACAATTTCTCTGATACGTTTTTAAGAACTATTGATAAGTATTCCTAACATTTGAGTCTAAGCACAAGTGCAGAAATCCTCAACTCTTCTGAAGACATCAGCAAGAAAGCATACCTGCAGAAAATCATTATCTGTAAGAGCTTGGCATAAAAATAAATGATTTAAATACAATGACTAAGATAAATACCAAATTATATATTTACTCAGTTATAGAAATCTTTCTAACATCCAAACACACAGAGGAAAGAGTGCCCTGACCATTTCTCCACTCCTGCTGTTTATCTGACCACAAAACTCTAGGAATTCCAAGATTCAAGTGCTGACCATTTAGGGAACTGAGGCAGAGATTAATGGCTCTGAAGACCCCATATGAGCATATTCAGTGGTAGAACTTTAAGTCAGGTTTTAAATGCTTCCCTGTGTCAATGTATTTTATTCTTAAAATCTTTGCCCTTCAGAATTTCCAAGGGCATTTTAGTTGTCCTTTAAAACACTGAAACTTTATTCTTTGCTCATTTACCGATAAATATCACCTGTACTCACCACCACTAGATCAGCAAAATCAGCAAAGAGAGCCAGTGTTGGATTTGGATCTAGGTGATCCAGGCTCTAATCCCTACTTAGCCAAAAAAGTGACTGGGTGACTATGACCCATCAGAGAGTCTCAGACTAACCTACCTCACTGGGTTGTTGTAAAGATAAGACTGAAAGGAAGAGGTAGATTGTGTAAGCTTCCTTGAATTCCTTCAAGGATAAATATGGATATAAATATAATTAAAATTTTTAAAATGCCAGAAATTAATTTTTCTGAGCATATGCAATGTATATTTTTACTCTTAATATGTATAACTAAAAATGTTTTAATAAAATAAATAAATAACTGATAACAAAATGGAGATTCAAAATACTAGGTTTCTGTGCAACAAGTTCTATGTTGTAATTGACACTTGAGATCTCTAATGCAGAATATCAAATATTTTCATAATTCAGGCCACACTTTCAAAACAGTTTTCAAAAGAAACAATTTTGGGGAAACACAAAAGATACAGTTGACAAGGCAAGTTTGAACATTAACAAATTTGGTACATAACTAGCACATCTGTTCCGCACACCTGGTTTTCACAGCCTTGTTTTCTCACTGCAAACACAGGAATGTATATAGCATTAAATACATATGATAAATTAAGAGTTATGCTAAAGAGGGTATCTTTGCAGAGAAATATAACTTGTTATATTTAACAGTTTAAGGAGTAATTCCCAAAAGAACTGCTTTTGATCTTTAAAGCCATCAACATTTTGGGACCTAATTGTTTATTCATTTATCTTTGAAATCCCAGCATTAGCGTTTGGACCAATCCAATGTAGCATTTTAGCTCAGAATCAACCCACCATGCCCGACATCTTTCAGAAACTCATTATGACATGATTTGGGCTAGTATTTTTAAACATGTTTTCACACAGGTGTGTTAAATATTAGTTTAATATTATTTTTCCTGCAGTGATTATATTTGCCTAATTTCTATGTAACTATAATACATAATTGTATTAAATTACTGCACATATTGAAAAAATGATTGAAAATGTTTTTCCAGGATCTTCAATAGTCAGTTACATTATAAGAGTCTCAGTTGATTTTGCAAAAGGAACCATTCATTATTTTAATAGATGTTTTAATAATTTTTATAGAATTTTAAAACAAAAATTGATAATATAAGAAATGAAATACTGTAGCAATATGTTGGAGTATAAATAACTGAACACTAGTGCTTGTTAAAGATCTAGGTACAAAGATATCCTGTTACTAGGAAAAATATGTAAAATTTAAGCAAGTAATTTCAAGCTAACAAAAAAACAGGAACTGTGAACTAAAATCCATTGATTTTATGTCAAGAGTTATGGTAAACCATAGACTCCAAGAGGGTCTTGCATTTACAAATTTGAGAATTAAATGTTTCATATAAAAGAACCTAAACTACCAACATATTTACATATACATACAGCAGGTGTGCACTGATTCTGTTTGGTATCCCCAAGGCAAGGGTAGATCATGTCATGTTAATTTTTCTGAATTAGTGCAAAAGAAATACCGAAAAAGCAAAAAAAAAAAAATGTGGAAAAAGGAAAGTTACTCTATATACATAATTGCATCATGTTATTTTACAAGGAGTGAATAATTGTCACTCCTTGGTTCACAAGCACACTACAGGGTAGAATAGGACTTCCACCTTAAATGCTGAGAAATTTGAGAGACTAAGGTTGCAATCGAAGGATGTACTGACCAAAGGGGGGGGGAATCCAAAAATAACCAACTCCCCCCCCCCAACAAAACAAAAAACCAGGCACCATTCCTCAGCAAGCTTAACTGGCTGGGGAATGCTTTAGGACTTTTTCTTTCTAAACACACATATAAAAGGTTAAACTTTTTACCAGTCTATGAAAAGTGGGACACAGAAATAAGGTATTAAAGAGTCATGACAGGACTGGGCACTTAATGGGGAGGAAGAGAGGGAATATAGATAGCAAAACTGCTGTCAGGCAAGGGATAGAGGACAAAGCAAATGATGGGACTGAGATTAAATGGGGAAGCATGTAGAGAGCAGGAAACCTCATGGAAAAAAGAGATGTGAGTATTAAAAGTTTTAGTTTTCCTTATCTTATTGCCTGAGCATGGATGAGCCAAGAAAACATGGAAAACAAATGATATGTGAAACACAAAGCTTCACCATAAACTGCTTATGAGGATCACCGACTTTCATTCTTTAGTTTTGCATCAAGTCAGCAACAAGATCAGAGCTGGGCAGGAAGTGAAGCTTATGAGATTTTCTAAAAATAAAGATGGAGGTGGGGATCCCCATCCATACATTTACCTCAAAACGTCAATGGAAACAGTAAAATATTAGCACAATGTATAGGTCTTAATAACACATCATTTTTTAAATGAAACACATCTATGACCGCCTCGACAGCTAGTGATACCTGAACTTTCGAGCTGACATTAAAATTCACCTAAGCGCTACAGAGATCAGCTTTTTCTTTGGGAAGAGGGCCTGATGTATTAGCTGTATCTGGCAATGAAGAACTCTACGCAGGACTTCCTCAGCTTAGCTAAATCAAACCTTTAAGATTTCCCACCGCAAAGAAAGGCCCTAACTCCCTGAAAACCACAGCCCACCCCAAATCAATCCAAGAATGACTACCCCACTACCTACCCTAGATAAGCCACCTCATCAAACCGCCCACACGGCGTCCCTTCCTACCCACGTCTCTCCCAACTCTCAGCCCAGAGCCACCCTCGCGGCCTCTGCACCCTTATCCTCGGAGCCGGACCCTTCGCCAGACTGCGCGGACACCGGCCGACTGCCCTCCTCAGAGCGGATGATCCAGCTCCGGACTCCCTACCCGGATCTCTAAGGCGGGGAGCCCGCCCTCGCACAAGCCCCCTCAGACATCCCTAACACCCCCACCTTCATCCCTACACAGACCTGTGGATCCGGCCATCTTGTCCAAACCCCTCCCCCACCAGCCAGGAAGCACACGGGCGCCGAGCATGTGACTTCAGCCTTGCGTGCGACGTCACTTCCTGGAGCCCAGTACGCGCCTTCCGTACGAAGGCGCTTGGCGGGAGGGGAGACCTTAGCGACGGAGGAAAGAGGATAGCGCTCCGGTGGGAGAGGGTGGCTCAAGGCAACTGATGTTAGGAGACCGCATAGTGTTTCGTTTTGCGGCCGGCATGTTGAGGCTAATGAGTTAATTACAATACGAAGGCATCCTAGTCCTGTTGTGCATCCTGGCTTCAGAAATACTGCTATAATTAATCAGCTTGGGCTAAATTTATCCTGTGTAAATTAAGCGCATCTATTTCACTGGAATAGATCTAGGCCTGTGTATAACACTTCCAGTCAAAAGAGTGGGCTTAAGGTGTTTCCTTTGGACTGGGTTGTGGCAGTGGTGCCCAAACTGAAATCATTGTAGGCTATAGGCATCTGACTCTGATCCAGGTTACGTCAGGAATGACTTGGGGTTCATCAGTAGCGATGACAAGGTTTTCTGAAGGACTGCCTGGTTAACATAACGAATATTCCCTGAAGGGTGTTGGATCTTTTTAAGTATTTTTCCATAAGGCTGGGCTCTGCTGATTTACAGCAGAAGTGCAAGGATTTCTGACTCCTAGTTTAACAATAGCAGCAGCAACACAACCCTCAGTCTAAATTACACTGCCCTCAGTGAAAGGACTGAGTTCAGTTCAATTATAGTACTCAAAATAAATTGCTAGCATCAGAATTCTTTTAAATTCACCATGTTTCTTCAGAGCCTGGTGCAAAAATAAAATATATGCCATAAGTCTGGAGTACTCTCAGTGCTGTGAATACAAGAAGGGATTGCATGGCAGACCAATATGGAACTTGTATGCATACTAAGTAATACAGAATGCAACATAGAGAAATATTGTGGGTGTGCCATAATTGCATTTAATTAAAACATCACAACAATAAGCCCCAAATTTAATGTTTTAGAGGCACTTTCAGGGCTGTTAAAGTCAAACAGCATGATGTAAATGCCTGAAACAGAATAGTCTTGTCATAGGATGTGAAACAAGAAAGGCATAACATTGGAGGAATCAAGAATTCCTCCTGCTAAATAAGCCCTCCTCCATTTCAGCTGAAATTCTATCTAACTGCATGACAATATGTGAAGAGAAAGCATATCCATCACATAACATACCAGAGTCTTTTAAGAAATAAGGTTCTATGGTAGACCTTCAAAAGAACTTTATGCTCCCAATGTACCTAGTTATCTGTTCTGTTAATAGAACTCCTTGAATGCACACCTTAAAGCAGTAAGGAGGCATGAGAATATCAGAGCAGCGAGAATGCCCCCAAGAGACCACTATGTCTCACTAGGGTAGTCTCTTAGCAGGGTCACCTTGCTGGTTAAAGCAGAGGCAGCACACCAAGATTTGCAGGAGCAACTCACATCAGCAGAAGAAAATGGATATCTAATGGTAATGGAGCAGAGAAACTTCTGAAGGGCAGTAGCTGAAGACAACACTTGCAGAGGATCTTTTGCAAACAGCAGCAGTGATGTTGGTTAGTACTGCACAGAAGAAGGCAATGATAAACCACATCTGAATCTTCTTATGATGAATCAATTCAAAATGAAACACATTTATAGTGTTAGAAGATGGGACTCTGAAGTATATATGAATTGAATTGCAGCTTCAGTGGCTTTTTAACTGTGGGTCTTCAAATCGTTTAGAGCTGCCTTGAAGGATGGGAGTTGGAGGTATTGTTTGGCAGTAGTTACAATCTTGCCAGAGGAAGCAGTTCTAGAAAGTGGTGTTCTATGACCACTGCTTCATTCTTCTAATTCGAGGTGTCTGCAAGACTTCATCTTCTGAATGTATTTTAACATGTATAAGGACCTGTTTGGTGGTATCCAAGGACTGAACACTGATTTTCCATAACTACTAATCATAATGACTATGTATTACCTCCAGTGTCACAGGCCTCTGTATAACAACTGCTGGGAAACTTGCAGGTGGGTGCTATTACATGTGCTGCTTGTAGTTTTTCTGTGAACAGCTGGCTAGTCACAAAGGGAATAGAATATTCAACTACATGGAGTCTTGTAAAATAATTTCTACTGAGGGAAATAAAGGCCCTCCAAGTATAGGCTGATGGAATCTTAGCGGTAGCTGAACAAACAAAGGATCTTGAGTTTTGGTGGACAATTTGATGAAAATGTTGACCCACTTCACAGCTGCTGTGAAAAATACAAACTTCATGGAATTATACAATTCATTGCTGCAGGAAGTAATGATGGCCACTAACTCATATTCATGGAGAAAAAGGTTATCATTGGATTCTATCACATTTATATACCACCCCAATAGCCCAGAGGGCTCGCTGGGTGGTTTACAAACATTAAAACCCCACCAATCCTGAACAAATAAATTGGCTACTCTTGATGGCTACATGTCACCTCTGATATCAGAGGCATTGTGCTTGCATATACCAGTTGCTGGGTAGGTTGGAGAGGACAGAGCTGTGGTACTCATCCTGACTGAAGAATCCATTGTGCAGCTGATTTGCCCACAGTATGAATACAGTGCTGCACTAGATGACCATTAATTTGATCCAGCATAGATTTTCTTACATTCTTATATTCTTAAAAAGGTCCCAAAACAGCTTGCTCTTAATCAGTGAAAACAAGTGAGTCCCTCCCTGCAGACTTAGAATTTTAAAGATATGACACAAAAAAGAGGAAAATGATGAAATGAAGAAAAATGCAAACTCTGACTCTGTTTCCTAAAATTAAGTATATCTTCCTTTAAAAAAGTGAAAATAATTCATTTAGCTTCTCTGCAATTTAGATTGAGATAAGTAACTCTACCTCCATCAGCCCCAGATAGTATGGCCAATCCTTGGAGAAGTGGAGTCCAAGATAATCTGGAGGAAAACAAGTTTGCCACCTTTATTTAAACGATTCAGTCTCAAGCCATATTTACTGTTCTCTCAACTATTTGAACCTCCAGTTTTGTTTTTTTCAGCCCATGCTTTCACCCTTTTATCTGTTTTCTTTTCCCCATACTTCCCATGTTACTTAATGTATTGATCTGTTATGGTACATTTGATCTTTTAGAAATATGCTGTACTTTGTTATTGTTGTATTGAAATGATGGGGAGAGCGTGTGCATGCATACTTGTCAATTGGAGCCGTGAGGATTTTCAGCACAGACTCACAACAGAGATCTTCTGCCTTGTAGAACTGTATTTGATCTGATTGTATTCCCTGATGTCCCTCTCAAAGGATGCAAGATCTGGGATTTTATAGTACTTACAAAAGCATGGAATTTGTAGTTCTATTTTCTGGAAAGCCCATTTCCTTTAATGATTCACCAAAAGCTAAAAATGGGATTTCAAGGAAGGGGAATTAGCTCAAATGGTAGAGCGCTCGCTTAGC